CACACACACACACACACACACACACACACACACACACACACACACACGTTGTGCTGGGGATAAAACCTAGGACCTTGTACACCATCAGCCAAGGCTTTACCCTGAACTCCACCCTGGCAAGCACTTTGTACTAGCTAGACTCTACCTCCAGCCCTAAACTGTTAAGTTAAAAATGCTTTTAAGTGTTTTCAGCCCCTGGGATGGAGTCCGAGGCCAAGCCTGCAGTCCCACTGGGGGATCTGCAGTAGAAGTGGCGGCCTCAGCAGTGAGGGCCTTTGCCCTTCTGCCATGCGGAGGGCCCTGCCATCCTTATGCTGTATTGACAAGAGCATCAGATGAAGTGTCCAGGGAAATGAGTACCCAGCTCCTGGCCCGCAGCTCCGAGTGATGCTGGAGATTGAGTTGTTACAGGCACTGGATGCTTCATGTGCATTCTCGTTTCTCTGTGAGACTTTGGGCTAATAATTGTACCGGTTTTGTTGTTTCATTTTTCTTATTTCTGAGAGAAAGGGTGAGAGGAGGCGGTGGAGTTAGCCTATGTTAGAGTCTTTGAAAAATGATACCGAGGGATATATGTGTGCTATAGTGTAGCAAAGAGCCAGGATGATAATCTCCAGGCCTTTGAAGTCTCTATTGCCCCCAGGAGGGATGTTGGCAAAGCTCTGGCTGATGGTGAACTTGATAGCCCAGCTTTGTGAGGGCAGAGCAGGAGGCCCAGGGTGGTGCTTTATCTGATACCTGAGATCTAGATGTCTGTCTCTTGGCATAAATGTGACACCTGCTGTAGGAAGAACAGGCCCTGGCAGCTGGTGCTTTGGAAGGAGAAGTTCAGCCAGAAGCAGGAGGAATCACTTAACAGGGGACAAGTGACAAGTGTCTGTCATTCAATCAGCACGTTCTTTAGTTCCAATTGTCCCCAGGGGGCTAAGCAATGGCTGGGTATCCACTGGCAGGATTAATGCAGATGCAGAGATAAGAAGGATCCAAATATAGGGCCCAGTGCCTGGCATAGAGTGTTGGCCCAGTGAACACTGGCAGGACCATGGGGAGGTGACAGAGGACCACTAAGTCCATGGAGCAGAGAGGACATATCTATTGCTGTGCCAACACCAAGTTCCTGCTGCCCCGTCTGCTTGCTCTCGGGCCGGTAAGCAGACAAGAGTCAGAGCTACTGACTCTTAGCAGTTTACACAATTCGAAAGAAGTTGGGATTCCTGTCCCCTGACTCTCAAATCTAAACCCCCACTTCAGAACAGTTAGGAGGAAGAGATGCTTATCAGGCAGTGTGTGAGTCAGACACATATAACTCAGTGCTCACAGCGGGCCTGGTGGACAGAGCAGATGCTTCTGTTTATCCGGATGAGGAAAGCCAGGTTAAAGAGATGCTCACGCCCTTACAGCTGGAAGGCACATGTACTTAGACCTGCCACTCTGGAGCCTGAAGACTACACGGCTGATTGTCCAAATCTCAGCTGTATCAGAACCGTGTGGAAATATAGACCTGTGACCTGCAGGTGAGGGCCTGACTAGGTTTAACTTAACTTAGTTTCCTGTCTTTTTCTCAACAGAACTACCCTCAGCCACAGAGAGAGCCTTCAGTTATAAAGGAGTAGAACTGGGGGTGTCAATGACTTCTTCCCTTAACGTAGATCCGAGTTCAGTTCTGAGTACAGCCAGGAGGTCAGGGGTTTACAACCAATAAGCAGATTAAGGAAGCCAGTCCACACAGTTGCTAAGGAGAGGCATCAAGAGCCTTGTAGCAAAGTTAGGCTAGCAGGATTCCTCTAAAAGCAAGGAGATTGGGGCTGGAAAGACGGCTCAGTAACTTAGAGCTATTGTGTTGAATCATGAGAAGCAGTATTCAAGTCCCAGCGCCTGTGTAGTTAGCTGGGTACCCTGCACATGTGCAGGGGGACAGAGACAGGAGCATTGCTGGGACTTGCTGGCTTTCAGACTAGGTGAGAAAACATGAACCTCAGATACATAGTGAGACCTGTCCACAAAGGGAATCGAGTGCTTGAGGGATGCACCCGATGCCTTCTGGTCTCCACACATGCATACGAGACACACACACACACACACACACACACACACACACACACACACACACACGCTCAGCAGGGGATATTTTTTGAGATTTGTATTTTTTAAATAATGTGTCTGTCCATGTGCCCTTGGAGGCCAGAGGTTCTCATAACTGTAAGCGTGACTGTGTAGTGACCCAGGGCCCAAATACAGGACTCTGACTCCAGGACTCCTCACGGCCCTGCTAAAGAGCAGCACGGGAGAAAGCATAAATGATGACAGACGCTGGCTTGTAAGGACTGCCTTCTCTAATCCTGGGTGACAAGTCGATCTGTGACTCAGAACTCCAAGCTCCTCTTTCCTCATTTGTAAGATGAGAATGCTCACACCTGACCTAACTCCAGCATCTTAAAGGGCTCACAGGATACCATGCCTCTGAGGTGCTTCCTCAGCACGAGCCATAGCCACATAAGCCCCCTCCACGGCATGCTCCGGTGTGTGGCTCTGTGCCCACCCCTCTAAGCATCAGCACATGACTCCTGCACAGGAGATGTCTACCTTCTGTGTGGTCCATGCTACTTGTACTCTGGTTGTGTTTGTTTTGCTAAGATGGTCTTGCTTTGTATCTGAGGCTGGTCCAATTCTGCCTTCGTTCCCTTAGAGTTCTGATGTGTTAGAGGCATCTGCCCCTGCACTTAGCTGTTTATTTTGGTTTTGTTTAGTTATCTGTGTCCCTGTTGGTGCTCACATAGGGATCCTGTGACACTTCTGCCTTCTGCCAACTGTTGATTACCAAGTAGGGAGGGAGGGTGGGTGACTGTCAAACTCCTTTTACATGGAGTTTTTTTTCCCCCAAGTGTTGCATCAACCTGACACTCCTGAGCAGTGCCTGTGTTGTGCCTCGCATGAGCTCCAGAGCCGAGATGCAGCCTGGCCCCACAGCGGCATCCTACTGAAGCAGCCACTCAGATTCTCGTCTCAGGCTTGCTGCTATTCGTTCCGTGGCCCTAGATTAGTCATTTCATCAGCCTTCGTCCCAGTTTTTCTTTTTCCCTTTGAGACAGGGTTTCTCTGTGTAGCCTTGGCTGTCCTGGAACTCAGTCTGTAGACCAGGCTGGCCTTGAACTCAGATTCACCTGTCTCTGCCTCCTGAGTGCTGGGATTAAAGGCGCCACTAGCACCTGCCTGGCTTTAAGGGCTTTTTGTTGTTGTTGTTTTGTTTTTCTCATTTTTCTTACCCTAAAGTAAGGATGAAGTGTTCTTCCAAACTGGCCTGTTGGTTCCCAGTTCTGATTCATGGCCTATTGTGTTGTGGGTTCCCTCATTTTAAGCCCTGCAGCTCTGCCCAGCCGATCTCTTTATTGCCAAGAAGGCACTGGCATCTAGTGATTTAGAATGAGCACTGGCCCTGACTCTTCCCACCCTTATCCACGGCAGTCCCTTGCCTCTTCGTCTGTGTAGGTATGCTTGCTTACACATCAACAGTTTCCTGTCCCCCTCCCTCCCACCATGGTTTGTTTTTTCGCCTCCTCAGATGCATGCAAGCTAACCAGTTCCAGAACACATATCAATGAGTTACATTGAGCCTTCTGATCAGCTCAGGACTCTAAATTCGCTTGACAAACACCAAGTCCCTGGCTCACCTTTTCCTGCCTCCTCTAGCTCTGGTTCTATCCAGCAATCCCATGGTTAATGATCACAGAGGCTTGTGCTCCTTGCCCTTAACCCTCTTGTCACCACCTCCCATAATCCCCTGCTGCTACCCTGGAAATAGCCGTTGCCACCAGTTCTTGACTGGGCCTTTTGTGAGAAATCACCCACCTTGTGCAGCTGGGTAAGAATCATGCTGTAGTGGGTCCTCACAGTACTGACAAGAGCCAGTTCACGTGGCGGAGTTCCTTCTCTGTTTCAGGGAAGGCAGGGGTCTTTCCCACCCTCTGCCCTGTGGACTGTGGCTAAATTTGCACCTGCCCCTGCCTGGCCCACTTCATAGCTACCTTGCAAGGTGGGGTAAGGAGAAGAGAAGCACCCCCCTCTTATCTCTGCCTCCCTAATCTTAGATTTATGGGTTTCTGAATTAAGTTGACTTTGTTTTTCTCTTTTTTCCCTTTCATAGGGTATGGCAGCTGGAGAGAACTGGCCAAGGCCCTGGCCAACAGGAACATTCCAGCTGTTGATCCCAATCTCCAATTCTATCGTCCCCAGAGGCTGAACTTCAAGGTATGTGGCAGGAATGGCCTTTTTTCTGGTCTCCTTGCTGCTCAGTCAGTCAGGATCTTCAGTTGCCCTTGGTTGCTCCGTGGCCAGAAGGGAAAATGCTTCTCTGTGGTCTGCAGAGACTGCTGGGAGGGCTGTGGTCTAACTCTAAGCTCTAGATGAGTACTGATACCTAGTTTATCCTCAAAACCAGTGGTTCTCAGCCTTCCTAAAGCTGCGACCCTTAATACAGTTCCTTGTGTTGCGGTGACCCCCAACCATAAAATCATTTTGTTGCTCCGTCATAACTGTAATTTTGCTACTGTTATGAATCGTAATGTAAATATCTGACATGCAGGATATCTGATATACGATCCCTGTGAACAGGTCATTCTGCCCCCAGGGGTTGCGACCTACAGGTTGAGAACTATTACGCAAAGCCCCAGTAGGCCTAGTTGTCTTGTTTCTGCTTTTACCACATTGTCCAAGCTATCCAAGTCTGAGCTGTTTCAGACATATGGCCCCCATCTCAAGACAACACATCCTAAAAGCTAGGCTTAGCAGTAGAGCCTTTGCCTAGCTTATGTGAAGCCCTGGATTCCATCCCCATCTATTCTACCCCTAACTCCCCCCCACTCCCTACTGCACACACACAGCATTTCCTGCATATTATTAACCAGCATATCCCGGAGACAGGACTGTTTCTGCTGACAGTACCAGATACGTGGTGCCAGAGGTGATGATGGAGACAGATACCCTTCCCTGCAAACAGCTGGGGTATGGTTTGTCATGGAGCATTCCCCTATAGTGTTTCTCAGGAGGTCGATTAGGGAAACTGGGGGTCATTCCGATTTGGAACCCCACTCCCAAAACAGCTGAGCCAAAATCAGATGTGGATCTTCCGAGCTGGGCAAGACCAGAGTCAATCTGTAGATGGGTGTGGTAGGGAGGACTTGGGGTGCCTTTGAGGGGTTCCCATCTGTTGAGATCAGTGACAAATCTGGATAGAACGTGGCATGGGGGGTGTTGGGGGAATAAGAAATCACAGCTCTTGCCCCAAGGGGATCCAGAGTCAGTTTTTTTCTCATGGAGCAGGTTGAAAGATTCAGGAATGTAAGCAGACCTCCAGAGTGCATGCTGACAAGCCTGAGACATCTCCTCAGGGATATGGTGTAGATAATGAATGAAAGGGTCTCTTAAGTTGACAAGCCTGCTAGGGACAGGGGCTGTGTCCCATGACCCCCTACTTCCCCAGAGGCATCTTCAAGGAGCCCCATATCCCGTCCTATCTCCATTTATAATGTACATAGTGTTCTGCCTGCACACCAGGAGAGGGCACGAGAGCTCATTACAGACAGTGGGGAGCCATCGTGTGGTTGCTGGGAATTGAACGCAGGACCTTTGGAAGAGCAACCAGTGCTCTTAACCGCTGAGCCATCTCTCCAGCCCCTACTCCAACTTTTTACTAATATACTCACCAAGTTTATTTTTTGTTCTTCTGCTAGGACCAAGAAATTTCCCGAAGTAGGAGTAGGAACAGTAGCTACTTGAAGTGGAACAAGCCTGTCCCCTGGCTTTCAGAGGTAAGGCACTCTGCTGATCCTGGTCTTACACAGGCGGAAACAGAGGAAACACAGAGATCTAGAAAACTCTCTTGTGGTTATTGCTGTATTGTATTAAATGTTTTCCTCTAGCCTCACTAGATTTTCGTCCCCTAGAGGAGCACAAAGCTTTGCTGCAGACCTACTGTGTCCCAGGCCCTGCCTCTCATCCCTCCTCAGCTGTTGTCTCCTGTAAGGTAGTCTTATTGTTCGCTCAGCCCTCTGTCACTCAAAGGCCTCTGCCTGACAGTCCACTCACAAGGAGGAAGGTTTATTTTGGCTTGTGGTTGCCTGGCTTGTTGCTCTGAGCCTTTGTAGCATAGCCCATCATGGTGGAGCTAGAGGAGGAGGAGTCTAACTTGGGGTGACTGGGAGCAAAGAAAGAGGGGAGGAGCTGGTCCTAATATCCCCTCCAGCAGCAGGGCCTGGTTCCCTTGGGCGCTGCCTCTTACGGCTTTCACCCTTCTCAATAGTACTGCAGGCTGTGACCGGTGGGCATTTCAGGGACATTATAGATCCAAAGGGTGGTAACCACGGTCATTATCTTTACTTTATAGGTGGGCAAACAGTGTCTGGGGAAGTTCCGTGACTTTCATGGCCTTGCCTATCCCCAGTCTTAAAGATAACAACTTGCCCAAGAGTGCTTTCTCAGACCATTAAGTCCCATAAGATATTCCAAGAAGAAAGGAATCCACTGTTAAATAAACCTTAAAAAAAAAAAAATCAAAAGCCCACTGTGCAGGACAACTGTTCTTGGAAATTCACATTAACATATGAAAGATTCTGAGAAATCCTGGGGAAATCTGTTTAGCTTGGTTTAGCTCAGCACGTCCCAGATTTATTTGCCCCTGAACTGCCTTTTCCGTGAATGCCTGTTAATATTCTGAGCTACCAATGTCCTAAAGGAACATGCATTAGGAATCTGCTTCAGAGAGCAGTTATTGTGGGACCCAAATCACAACCAGGTGCAGGGACTCAGCGGGGGGCGATCACTTGAGCTGGCACAGCAAAGAAAACCCCAGCCGTCCTGATACTATTTACTAATAGGCATTGATAGTCCTTTCTTTTTTCTTTTCCTTCTTTCCTTCCTGGCTTCCTGGCTTCCTGGCTTCCTGGCTTCCTTCCTTCCTTCCTTCCTTCCTTCCTTCCTTCCTTCCTTTTTTTCTTTTGTGAGCATATACAAGTTATTTTGAGGACATGCTTGTACCAAAAACTCTAGAATATCACTGTGCTTTGGGGAAATCCCATTTTACATTGTGTTTAGAACCCAAAATCTCCATCTTGGAGCCTGTGTTAAAGACTCCTTTTCTTGGCTGTGTGGCGTGGGCCAGTCTATTGTCTTTAGTGTTCCTATTACAGACTGATCTTGCAGCTTGGGTGGTTTAATTTCCAACCCACCCACTCAAGGGCCAGAGAAAAGAGACCATGTTAGCTCCTCTGCTCTGTAAGACTGCCCGCTTTAAAGCTCAGGGTGAGGGTAGATTACAGTGCTGGCACACTTGTTCTCGGTGACATCATCAGGCATTGGAGATAGTGTGCTGGGTCGTGCTTTAAAGATCAGGTGGTCCTGGGGATACAGTCTTCTCTCAAAGGGCAGCTTGGTTTGTTTTTCTTTTCTTTCTTTTTTTTTTTTATGTTGTTCCTTGTTTTGCTCTTTCTTTCTTTCTTCCTCCCTCCCTCCCTCCGTACCTCCCTTTCTCCTTCCCTCTCTCCCTCCCTCCCTCCCTCCCTTCCTTTCTTTTTTCCAAAACAGGGTTTCTCTGTGGAACTACTCTGGCTGTCCTGAAACACACTCTGTAGACCAGGCTGGCCTCAAACTCATAGAAATCCATCCGCCTCTGCCTCCAAGTGCTGGGATTAAAAGCATGTGCCACCATCATCTGGCTTGTTGTTTATTTTTGAGATAGGGTCTCTTGTAGCCCAGGCTGGCCTTGAATTCACTGTTTAGTTGAGAATGACTTGTAATTCCTCCTGATCTTCTGCCTTCACCTCCCAAGTGCTAGGATTACAGGCATGTGCCACCACTTCTAGCGGGTTCTCATTTGTTCTCTCTCTCTCTCTCTCTCTCTCTCTCTCTCTCTCTCATTTTAAAGATAGAGTCTCAGGCTAGCCTGAAATTTATGATTCTCCAGTCTCAACTTCCTGCAAACTGGGGTTATAGGCTTGTGCTACCACCACGTCTGTGCTAGAATTGATTTTTTTTTTTTGTCTTTGAGTAAAAGAGACCTTGATTGACCTGGAACTCATGGAGCCAGCCTCTGCCTACTGAGTGCTGGGGTTAAAGGCATATGCCACCACACCTGGCAAAGACTGGCCGTTTTAAAGAAATAGTTGGTATCTTAGTGGTGTGGGAGATCCTTCTAGTGGTAAATGTCAATGAATTTCATTTTTAAACGTTAAAAGATTTAAAACCCTCAATCTTTATAGCTCTTTAGGGAATCCCTGATTTCCTAGGCTAAGGCAAGGAGTAGCATCCTCTCCAGCCCAGCTTGCCCATCCCTCCTTCCCTGTGCCCAGCTCAGTGACTCTTAGATTAGGGTGGTCACCACTCGTTAAGCAGTGTGTCTGGGAAGCCACAGAGTTGGCGGAGAGCCTTGTTCTGAGCGAAAGAGGATTAAACGTAAAGATACTTCTTTGCTCTCCAGTCTCAGGCTTTGCCTGCCTGCTCTGAGGCCAGATTCACTGGGAGGGGCAGCAGCCTTGGCTGTTGTCCTTGGTGTGTCAGAGAGGACTCCGCGGATTGGACAGCTGGGGCTGGGTGAATGGGGTAGCTGCCCTTAAAACTTCCGTGGAACCCTAGCAAACTCAAGTGCCAGACGCTTCATCTGTTGGTCAGTGTGCAGGGCCATGGGCACACTCGGCCTCCCTGGATCGTTCCCCCAAACAAAACTAATTGTGCAAAAAGCTTGGTGAGCACAGCTGTCCTAAACAGGCCACAGTGTCTCTGTCACTGTACAGCGTTGGGAGACGATGCTCCTCACCTGCGGACAGGAGCAGGGCATAAACTGAGGGTTTTCACTGTGTTTTGTTTCCAGCAATTAATCCAGCGCCCTATGCATTGTTTTAGGGTTTGTTTGTTTTCTGTTTTGTTTTGCCTTTTTTTTTGTTTTTCCTGTTTCTTTTTTTTATTTTTAATTTATTGATTTTTTTGAGACATGAAACCTAAAGCTGCTTAGAGTTTATTTTAGCTTAAGATATGTGTGCTAGGGCCCACAGTGATTCCTTGCCTCAGGGTTGCAGACTGTGTCACCACACTCAGCTTGCTACTGGTTCTGTGGGGCGGGGGTGAGGAGGGTGAGGGGGATGAAGGGAATGGGGGGTGAGGGGGGAGAGGGGATGAGGAGGGTGAGGGGAACAAGGGGAATGAGGGGGTGAAGGGGTGAGGAGGGCAAGGAGGACTAGGGGGGCGAGGGGCAAAGACAACTTTCAGGAATCAGTTCTTATCTTCCCCCTTATAGAAGCAGGATCCCTTGTTTCTGCTGCACAGTGTGCTCTAGGCAGCTCTCCCCTCTCACAGTAGGACTGCCGGGATTCTCTACCTCCCCTCTCACAGTAGGACTGCCGGGATTCTCTACCTCCCCTCTCACAGTAGGACTGCCGGGATTCTCTATCTCCATCTCACAGTAGGACTGCCGGGATGGCAGACATGATCCACAACACCAGCTGTTTATGCGGTGAAGATGGAGCTCAGGGTGTTTGCTTCTGGGGCAAACACTTTACCACTGAGGCATCTTCCTGGTTCTTGTTACTGTTTTTAAAAATAGAATTTTGGAAAGAGACCTGATTGTGCATATCAGTAATTCTGGCACTCAAGAATATGAGGCAGGTGGATCACTTTGAGTTTGAGAATAGCCTAGGCTATTGTTGGGGGAGAGAGGCTTGTTGGTTCACAGGCCGCCTGGCTGCTCAGTCCTGAAATAATCACACAGAAACTGTATTAAACACTGCTTGGCCCATTAGCGCTAACTTCTTATTGGCTAACTCTTACATTAATTTAACCCATTTCTGTTAATCTGTATATTGCCATGAGGCAGTGGCTTACTGGCAAAGTTTCAGCATGTCTGATTCTGGCAACAATGGCATCTCTTAACTCTGCCCTTCTTTCTCCCAGCATTCAGTTCAGTCCTCCCTGCCTACCTAAGTTCTGCTCTATCAACAGGCCAAGGCAATTTCCTTATTCATTAATGGTAATCACAACACACAGAGGGGACTCCCACATCAGGCTACATGTTGAGACCTTGTCTCAAAAAACAAAATAAAACAAGAACAAAAAATGTTGTTGCGATCTAGTTCATATTCCTTACATGTCACTCACCCACAGTGTCAACCCAGTAGCTTCTGGTATATTGACAGAGTTCTGCTTTGTTGAAGACTCGCATCTTGGCTGTTTCAGTCACTCAGTGGTAGATCATTTGCTTGGAATTTGTGAGACCTTAGATATAATTCATACAGATAAATAAGGAAGCCAGGGCTGAGAATGTATGTAGATCAGTTGGTAGAGGACTTGCCTGGGTTCAGTCTGCAGCTCTGTATAAACTGGGTATGGTGACACACACCTGTAATCTCAGGAAGTGGAAGCAGGAGGATCATCCCTGGCTACATAACAAGTTTGAAAACAGCCTGAGCTACATGAGACATTGTGTCATAAAAGGAAAAGAAAGCCCTGCATCCCTGGCCATACCCTGTCACCACACTCTCGTCCCAGCCTTAGGTACAGAGCTATCTGCTTTATATATTTTTTTATTTTATGTGTATGAGTGTTTTTGCTAAATGTATGTATGAACATCATATGTGTTTCTGGTGCCCATGGAGGACAGAAAAGGGTGTCATATCCCCAGATCTGGAGTTATAGGTGGTTATTAGGCATCATGTGAGTGCCAGGAACTGAACCCATGTCCTCTGTAAGAGAAAAGTTGATTACTTCCTGGCTCTACATTTGGCTGTCCCAGATATGGCATAGAAATGGAATCATGAGATGTGTCCCGAAGAGTCTGACTTCTGTCACTCATGAGGTTTGCAGAGTTCATCCTCAAGGTAATATGACATTTTATGGCGGTGTAGGATGGCATCTCATGGAAAAGCCACACCTTAAGACTTCTCTGGCTGAGACTGCAGAAGGGACGAGTTATTGTTCATGTGTCACACCTGTAACTAAGATCCGTGTTACAGGCTCCAAGATAACCCTCAGAGACTGTCTTGGTCCTACCAAAGTGGCCTTTGGTGATGTAGTGGCCATATGAGTTCTAGATCACGGAGGGGGAACATTCTAGATGGCAGCACCAGCTCTCTGGCTTGCAGGGCACAGCTGTCCACCACTTAGTCACCTGCTGGTCTTCTTCCTTGGCTTGGGCCGACACATTGGCTCCTCCCTCTGCTTGGCTGTCATGGAGCAGGAGTTCCTGGGAGGATGGAGACAGAGAGAGCTAATTCGCCTTTTATTTTCCCTTCCTCTGTTGGCAGACAGATCGTTGCTAACCCGGGGCCACCTTGACTAAAGCCGCTGTGAGCGCTCGTGTGAGCTTTGCTGTGGGTTGGGCTCCCCTGTTTTCAAGCCCAGATCACCATCATTGCCGTTTCTCACTTTGGTCACATGGTGACACACCTGTAGCATGTCAGTTCCTTATGAACCTTCTGTATGAGTCGGGAAGCTCAACCCGTCAGGCTCCACAGAATGGCCCTCCAGCCCTTTCTAGCATCGGGAGCCCCTTCCTTCCACAGGGAGCACTGTCCTCTCAGGAGTAGGTCAGAGGTTAGGAGTGTAATTTATATAGTGTTTGTCTCACTGGCATGAGACCCCAGATTTCATTCCCAGCATTATCTTAGAAAAAGTGGGGAGGAGTAGATCAAATTGTTCCAAAAGCTGCCCAGGAACCCCGTCTGTAGGAACCAGTGTGATTGGCTGCACACTGAGATCAGGTCAGGCCTCACTGGTTCCAAGCTGAACCACCCACCACGTGTGCTGGGCTTGTGACAGAGCAGTGACTCCAGCAAGGGTCAGCCAGTGCCCGCAGCCACGGCAGCTGGTCTCTCCGGTCCCTCTGTCCTGTAACAGCTCCAAACACAGGTGACACCATTTTACACATCTGAAGTCTTGGTCTTTGATTTAAGTGCCCCCCCTTCCTTCCCTCCTCCCTCCCTCTCCGTCTTCTCCCCAGACACTACACCCCTGAGCTGCACTCCACTCTCTTTCGGCTAACTGCACGGTGAACATGTAACCTGGTATTCAGTAGAGGAATTTATTCCTCTGAATTCAGTTTCTACGATCATCCGTCCATTCAGATAATTCAGATGTGGTGGGACACAGCGGAGGGAGCTGTTAGCGCTTCCCAGGGCAGGCAAAGAGGGCCTCAGAAGTATCTGAGAAAACTTGAAGAATAGACAGGAGCCTGCCATGTGGGGTAGAAAGCATGGGGCCTGATTAGGAAACAGTATTTGGGAGAGCGTGGGAACTCGAGAGCTGGATGGTTTGGGGCAAAGTTTGGGAGTTAGATGTGGGTAGGTATGGCAGGGAGGGCATGGTGTGGTGAGGGCTGGGAAGGCAGGTCAGTCATAAAGATCACAGTGAGGTTTTATTCTGCGGTCACCTCAAGTGTTCAGCTGCAGAGTGACTTGTTCCATCACACCAGCCGAGCTGCTCCAGAACAGTCCTGGAGGCAGTAAGAAGACTCAGTACTGGAGAGACTCTGTCATCCACTTAGGCCACATGCCATGCTGCTGGCCTGGCAAGCAAGGCTGGGCAGAGGTGGAGTTGGAAGGGGAAGCAGTGGGCAGGCCTTACTCTAGTTAAATACTCCCTTCTGCCCCCTTCATCTCCACAGGGTAATTACTGTGTGTTCTCTCAGGGAGTCATTTCCTGAGCCCCAATATCCTCCCTTCTAAATGAGACTATCCAATAGATACTTTCTTCCCTACAGCTAAATGCAGGTTCCAAACCATCACAACTATGGTTTGGAGGAGGAAACCCTCCCCTTCCTGGCCTTTTGTCTTTGCTAGGCAAGGGAGAGGGGCCGCAGCCGGGGCTGTACCTGAGCGCCACAGCCTTGCTAGTTCAGTCCCTAAGATGGAGTAACCTAAATTCTGGAAGGTATTGTCAGTGTGGGTCTCCCACTGTCAGAGGTTGGGGACAAAGGTCTGAGACTCAGCCAAATGTTGGGTGAGGTGTACCCCAAAGAAAGGGCTAATAAATAATCTTACTCACTCTTGGTCTGCCCTGCTGGCTTTCCACCTCAGACTCCCATGGACAAGCTAGACCATCTCCGGAGGAGCCCTGGGAGTTGGTGTCTACCTGCCCTCAGGCCAAAGCTGCTTTCATGCCAAACTCATTTTCAGGCCAAGCCTGGCCTCCTAGCTCCAGGCTTCACACAGCAGAGCTCTCTGACCTGGAGGTCTCTTGGGGAGGACCAAAAAGCAGACCACTTGGAGGAGACAACTGATTCTTTGAAGCTGGACTTGAGGAATTTCCTCAGAAGCAGCATAATGACTCCATTCTTCCCTTCCTCGAAATCTCAACCCGCCTCCCACCTACCGGCCCACACACTTTCTCGCCCACCCCAGCCCCCTTCTTGTGTCCCTATGAGCGATGGCTACTTCCCAAGTGTTGACTCAGCTTGTATGCTTACAGGTCAGAGCGGGACAAGCTAGCCTCTGTCTTCAGGGTCTAGCAGTGGGACCGTGTCCGTGAAATCTTGCCGGTCATTGCAGCCTAACTTAGACCTTCAGCATTCCTATGAGGCACGGCGCCTGTTTCCACATACCCGTTGTTAAGAATAATTGTATGTTGGGGGGAGGGTATACATGTGTGCTGGTGCTTGTGAGAGCCAGGAGACAATCTCTGGCTTCATTCTTCAGGGCCATCTACCTTGAGTTCTGAGATAAGATCTCATTAGCCTGGGGCTTGCCCACTTAGGACTAGACTGGCCACATGGCTCTAGGGATCCTCCTGTCTCCCCCTCCCATCTTCAGATTCCAGGCTCTCACCAGCCTTTTCAGAGACTTCTGGGGACAGAGTGCTTGTGCTCCTGTGGCAAGGCTGTACTAACTGAGCCGTCTTCCCAGCACCCCATCTGCATCACTACACGGAGGACCCAAAACGAGTCCTTCGGTCTGGGTGCCTGTTCCACTTCTGTCCACTTTTTTCTCAAGAGTGACTCAGATTTTGGATCTGACAAGCTCCAGTTAGGGTGGCGGGGCAGGGCAGGGCCTGTTTGTGTGTATGGATGAGGCGCCATGTGGAATGTGCTCAGCTCTGGCGAAGGACTGGAGTAATTTGAAACTGTGGCTCAGTTGGGACCATATCCCTGCTTCTCTTCCTTTCCTAAACATAGCCCCTCACTCACCTGGAGTATGGCTGTTGACTTTGGCCTGTCTTCAGCAAGAACCTTTGCTCCAGGTCTAGGCCTGTTCCCCTCCAATGCCACAGCCGAGAGGGACAGAGAAAGGGCAGACTCTTCTGTTTCTGCCAACTCAGTGCTGCCAGGAGCCTGTGAGCTACAGGAGGCCCTGGTGCTGCATGACCCGGAGGGGTCCCAGATGTCACCATAGTCTTACTCAGCTGCTTCCCCTAGCCAGAATGTGAAGACCACTATGCAGATAAGGTTTCCTGACCGGCAGATTGCTGCAGGGCCTTCCATGAGGAACGGGGGAGGCATGGTGGGCACAAGCCCTTCCTAGTTCCCTCTGTCACTTCTGCCATTTTGTCCCTGTTGTGCTTCCTGCCTGCCTGGAAGGAACGAGGAATGTGTTGTGTGTATCTGTAGGCATGTGTGCATATTTGACCCATCCATCGAGTCAGGCCACTGTTGTTGACTTTCTGTCATGCCTGAGATAACCAACTCATAAAGCGGGAGGATTGCTTTGGCTCACAGTTTCAGAGGTTTCGTCCTAGGCTTGCTTGGCCCAGTTGCTTTGGGCTTCTGGCAGCTGAGTACATCATGGTAGCAAAAGGACTGGAAAGTCAAGTAAGACAAAATAGCCGGGACCCTGGTATCCCCTTCAGGGGCACAGCCCAATGACCTAACTGTGCCCTGCTAGGTTCCCCACCTCCTAAAGGTTCTGCCATCTCCCAGAAGCACCATGGGCTGGGAACCAAGCCTTCCATAGAATATACAAGGAGCACTGAGCCCACCTGCTTGCTCTGCTCCAGGGCTGAGCACAGGCCACTGCTGCTCGCTCATTGTCCCTTCTCCTCTGCGCAGTTCCGGGGACATGCCAACCTGCATGTGTTTGAGGACTGGTGTGGCAGCTCTATCCAGCAGCTCAGGAGGAACCTGCACTTCCCGCTGTACCCCCACGTAAGTGCCTGCGGGGATGTCTGCCCACCATCCCAGGCCATCTGTGTCCCCTCCACCTCATCCCTCCCACCTGCCTCCTTCCCTGTCCCTTCTCACCCATTGCAATCTCTATTACTCCTTTGGTCTCGTGGGCCCCCTCGTCCTCTGCTTAGAATATCTTGTCTTCTCCCTCCCCGAGGCTCCTGCAGCCTTTCAGTGTAGGCGCTCTTGGTATTTATCCAGGGCCAGCATGTACACATGTGCAAGTTGTGCACTGTACAAGGTCACCCGGACCAAGAGCTGAGTGAGACCTGACGTTTATCGTGAACTCCACACACCAGGCCACACCCCTGGTCTCTCATCTCCTGTTCCCCTCCTGGTCTTCCCGCCAGTCTTGAGTAGCTCCTACTCAAATCCCTTAAATTCTTCTTCCTGATTCTGAGTAACAGTTCATCTTTCTCGACATAGATCCGCACAACCCTGAGGAAGCTGGCTGTGTCCCCCAAGTGGACCAACTATGGTCTCCGCATATTTGGCTACCTGCACCCTTTTACTGATGGTGAGGCAGCCCCAAAGCCTCATCCTTCTTCCTGCTCTTGAGTTCTTCAGGAAGGTCCTAGAAACATATGCTCAAGCTAGGAAATACATCACATTGAGTCCCTGTTAGCCCATCATCAAGGGAGAAGGGAAACTAAGGCATGGTGAACTCTCATCCAATAGCTTCAGGCTGCCGCCTCTCTCTCTCTCTCTTGCAGCTGGAACTGGCTGGTCTCCATAAGTCCTTCTCCATCTTCATATAGCTACCCCAGATTGTAGAGTCTCCCCCCCTCCCCATACACAAAGGCAGGAGGCAGCCAGGCGCCATGAGTGAAGGGAATTAATGCCCAGGCATAATGTAGGCTTTCAGCCCTGGTGCCAGGGCCCCCCTTAACTCATCCAGATACTCTGCCGTTGCCCAGGGAAGATCCAGTTTGCCATCGCTGCTGATGACAATGCCGAATTCTGGCTGAGTCATGATGACCAGGTCTCGGGCCTTCAGCTGCTGGCCAGTGTGGGCAAGGTAGGGTCAGCTCAGCCCCTGGTTCTCACTGATCCCTGGAGGCAGTCGGTCTTGTAGTACATGAGACTATTGGGGGCCTCCTTAACCATTAGCACTGCCTGCTTGAAGAAGGGACAGAAGCCACGCATGGTGCTCCACCCTGTACTGCAAAGGGCATGTGAGATGTGGGCAGAGTGGGGATCCAGCCACATCTATCTTTTGGGTTCTACCGTCCCTCAGCCCCATGCTGAAGATTCACACTGGGCTGGTTGCCTATGGGAAGGCTCCCTTCCACCAGTGGGGGCAGATGTGTGTTAGTCAGCCATCCTCCCTAACTCCGTCTTCTGTTTCTCTCACCTCTCCTCTTCCTTTCCTCTGTCCTCTCTTCTTCCCTCTCCCTCCTCCCCTCTTCTCTCCCCACACTTCTAGACAGGAAAGGAATGGACAGCCCCTGGAGAGTTTGGGAAATTTCAGAGTCAAATTTCCAAGCCAGTGAGGTGAGTAGGGGAGGGGTCACTCCAGCACCATGCCAACCAGCATGAGAGAGCTGGGAGGGCCTCTTTTCACCCTCCCCACCAGCTTGCGGCTCAAGATTCCTGTGCCCGAGCGTCCACATGGTCTGCCTACACAGAAGCCGTCTGTCCTGCCCTTCTTTATTTTATAATTTTTTTTTTAGATTCTTTTTTGTTATTGTTGTTTTGTTTGTTGTTTTTTATTTTTTTTGAGACAGGGTTTCTCTGTAGCTTTGGAGGCTGTCCTGGAACTAGTTCTTGTAGACCAGGGTGGCCTCGAACTCACAGAGATCTGCCTGCCTCTGCCTCCCGAGTGTTGGGATTAAAGGTGTGTGCCACCACTGCCCGGCTAGATTGCTTTTTTTAAATGAGTGTGTTTTGCCTACACATATATGGGTGTGCCATGTGGGCCTGGCACCCTCAGAGGACAGAGGATTATCTGGGACTGTTGTTGTTTTGTTTTGTTTTGTTTTTTCCCCGGGAACTGGTTTTACAGGTTTCCGGGGAACTGGTTTTAAGCCGCCACGTGTGTGCTGGGAACCGAACACTGGTCCTCCACAGGAGCAGTGTTCACTCTTGTAAGCTATCTCTCCAGCCTCCTTCCTCATTTTAGATGAGGACACTCAAGCCCAGGAAGCCACACATACATTGAGTGGCACTCAAGGTCTCCGTTCTTCCCGTCCTTGCCTTCCCATTTTCTCCAGACCTTGAAATACTCTCACACATAAGGAGGTCTCGTGGTTGCTCTGGGACTTAAGAGAGGGATCCGGACAGGGAACTGGAAGGATGCCTTTGAAGTGATCTGGATAAATCAGTGGACTCTGAATCTGGTCCAGCTGCAGCCCGCCACCTGGTGGCCGGCACAGTCACAGGCGAGACCACATGCTGCCTAGACCTTTCCTTGAGCAGACCTGGCTTGCAAGCAGCCCTTGCTTTGTGCCAGCACTAGTGTGAGCATTCTGAGTTCTCTCAGTGACAGGCGTGGACCCTAAAGCAAGGCTGCTTGGTCCAAATTCCAGCACTGCTTACTACCTGGTGACGTTGGGCAAATTACTCAAGATTATGGGGCCTCTTTCTGACAGCCCAGGAGGGTCAGTCAAAGCACCAAGGATGGCCCTCGTGTGCAGGAGCTGCTCAGTAAGGCCTATTTCACTGAGTCCCCCAACTGACTTGTGAACTACTTGCAGAAAGAAAGCCCAGGCCAGCTGTCAGGGGTGGGGGGTGGGGTATGGTTAAAGAACAAGTTCTTGAGAAGAGAAAGGAGCATCAGGGAGCTTATAGGTGGGAGAGGTGGACGAGGGGACCAGCTGAGGAGAAGCCCATTTCCTGTCTCCTTCTGCCAGCTTATCAGCCTCCCTCAGGTACTACTTTGAGGTGCTGCACAAACAGAACGATGAGGGCACTGATCACGTGGAGATCGCGGTGAGTGATTTCATCACCCCATCCCCTACCCCCCCCCACCCCACACGCCTTTCCCAGCATTCCCTTCCCCATAGCTCTTGAACGCTGTCCCAAATCCAGTGTCCTCCAACGTCTGTGCCCTTCCTCTAATTCTAGTGGAGACGGAATGACCCTGGAGCCAAGTTCACCATCATTGACTCCCCCTCCTTGTCCCTCTTCACAAGTGAGTAGGCTCTGCCTGCCTGGAAGCACATGCCACTCATTCAGGAGAATGTGGCCCAGGGTGAGGTTGGAGGGGCGGAGAGAAGTTCTGCTACTTAGAACACGTGTATGAAGAAGGTCCGGAGAGGATAAAAGCCTGAAGCACCTTTCAGTTAGGGGGCCTTTACTCTCGAGGATCAGAGGTCCGTTTAAGAACATGCTAGACACAGATGTGGTGGTTTCAGATTTGTTGGCTTGGTTTTTTGAAACAGGGTTCTCTCCGTGTAGCCTTGGCAGTCCTGGTACTCAGAGATCTGCCTGCACTAGGGAGGCTGCGGCAGGAGGATCACATATTCAAGGCTATCATATGGAGACTTAAAAATAGACACAAAGCGAGAAATAAGTTCTGAAGGAAATATGTTCAGTGTACAATGTATGTGTATCTAAAAAATTAAATATAAAAAAGAAAAAAGAATAATACAAACAAAGAGAACCGCTAGAGCCTCTGTGAGCCCTCATCTCTGAAAAATGCCCTTACCCATCCATGCCTAACAGTTTGAAAAAAACTACAAGGGACTCTGAGACCATGGGGCTCACTTGAGGTTGACAGTTGATGAACAGCAGACTCGGCATGTTGTATGTGTTTATTTGTGCATACATATACATATGCATGTGTGTATATATGAATGTCACAATAATAATCAAAGACAAAGAGGGTATCAGTTTGAAAGTGGAGGTCTTAGAAGGGCCTGAAGGGAGGAACGGGAAGGGAGAAAGCAATGTAATTCTACTTCAATTAAACATGTATTTTTAGCCAGTGGTACATGACTTTAATCCCAGCACTCAGGAGGCAGAGGCAGAGGCCGAGGACCGAGGGCAGAGGGCAGAGGTTAGAGGGCAGAGGGCCGAGGGCAGAGGGCAGAGGTTAGAGGGCAGAGGGCAGAGGGCAGAGGTTAGAGGGCAGAGGCAGAGGCAGAGGCAGGAGGAGCTCTGTGAGTTCGAGGCCAGCCTGGTCACCAGAGCTGCTGGGGACCAGCTCCAGCAGAGATCAGCAGAGACTTTGAGAAGAGTGGATGTAGCAGGTGATATAAAGAAGCTGCACCAGACAGCAATTTGAATCTTTTTCTGAGCCTCTAGGAATATATTATTTATCACTGCACTTGGGAGGCCATCTACAGGAGAGAATATGTGTATATCTCTTTCTTCCCAGGGCCACATAGTTTATTTTTATATCTTACAATATTAATCTGTATTTGCATTTCAAAAATATCTAATATGTGACTATTTTTCCAACATGAATAAACACATCCTAAAATCATAAAATAATTGTAATCATAAAATCCAATGATCACAGATCCAGGAGCAAGTAAACAGAATTTAACTAAGCAGAGGAGGAGAGGCCTTTAATATTTCCTCATGGCTAGACAGTTTAGAATCTAAAGGGTGATTTTTAACTTGTAATAAACAAAGCAAAAATTTTTATCAAATTATACTATAATCTATTTTAAAACTTTATATATGTCCTTATTTATATAGCAAATATAATTTCTACAATATTCCTGTCTTTTATTTTTATAATCTCTTAATGATTAACTTATAATGTAAAATCATATCCTTTTGTCTTGATTTTTAGTATTTAAATTTGCATTTTATATTTATAAAAGCATTAATACCTTCACTACAAAGTAAGCAGAAAATGTTCCCAAACTCATCTGTGGGTTTTTGTTCTTTCCCCGTCTCTGGAGACTGGCTAGAACATCCTGTTCAGCCGTTTCACCCATATTAATACTTTTAAATGTATAGGCTCTGTTATTTTTTTAAAATAAGTTTATTTATCGTATTCCCTTTCCCAAGCTGTCTTAGACCATTTATATTTTGAGGACAAAGGGAAACAAGTCAGTAAATCCAAAGGCCACTGTACAAATGATTGCATTTTTAAGTAATAAATCTAATGGAGGGAGTGGGGCGGTCTCCACTCAACCAGAAACTGGAGCTCCGTCGCGCGGCTTCTTCAGCCAAGTACCCAGAGCAAGCTCCAGGGAGCCGGGACTGTTACACAGAGAAACCCTGTTTAAAAATATATATTTTAAAAAAAGGTTGACAAATAGATCCAATCTCTTTTTGCACTATAGCTCTTACTCAGTCAAGACCATGAAGAGAAATTATTGTCTACTTTTTTTTTCCTAAGACAGAGTTTCTTTGTGTAGTTCTTGCTGTCCTGGAACTCAGTGGCCTCAAACTCAGAGATTCACCTGCCTCTGCCTCCTGAGTGCTGAGATTAAAGGTGTGTGCCCCCACAGCCCAGCTCAAAACTGTCATCTTTAAATTTGCAGAATGTGAACTTTTCAGTTCTTTTCACTGTTTATTATTGTCTCGGCATGACTGGTACTCTAAGGCCCCACTAAAAAGTAAAACTGACTATGCTTGGTAGTACACCCTATAATCTCAGGACTCAGGAAGCTGATGTAAGAGGATCTTGAGTTCAAGGCCAGCATGCTCTACACATCTTGCTCTGGCTCAAGAAAAAGAATGAAAATAAATAAAAATGTTGAGCCAGGTGGTAGTGGCACGTGTCTTTAATCCCAGCATTCAGGAGTCAGAGGCATGCAGATCTCTAAGTTCAAGGCCAACCTGGTCTCCAGAGTGAGTTTCAAGACAGTAAGGGCTACACAGAGAAACCCTGTTTCAAAAAATCAGCACCACCACCAATAATAATAATAATAATATTAATAATAATAAATGTCAGAGCTGGGTTGTGGCTTGGTAGTAGAACACTTGCCTAGCATGTACAATACTCTGGTTTTCACCCCCAGTTCAGAAAACAGTTAAAAGTAACATCTTCAGCAGGTGGTGGTCACACACACCTTTAATCCCCAAACTGGGGAGGCAGAGGCAGGTGGGTCTCTGTGAGTTCAAGGCCAGCCTGGTCTACAAAGCAAGTTCCAGGACAGTCAAGACTTACACAGAGAAACCCTGTCTTGAAAAACAAAACAAAACAAAACAAAACAAAAAAAGCACTTACTGCTCCTCAGAGACCGAGTTTAGTTCTCAGCAAGCATATCAGGTCGGGCACAGTTAACTATCACACCAGTGCCAAGAGATTGGATGCCCTCTTCTGGCCTTCTCACGCATCAGCCCATATGGCATGTATTCACAAGGACAGACATACAAACATAAATAAAAGTAAAAATAAGTCTTGGGCCAGATGTAGTGGCATATGTCTTTAATCTCAGCCTTTAATCAAGAGCCAGAGGTAGGCCAATCTCTGTAAGTTTAAGGCCATCCTGGTTTATATAGTGAGGTAAAGAATAATCAGGGTTACATGGTGAGACCCTGTCTCAAGAACCAAAAACCCTTTTTTAGAAAGATTAAACTTTGGCTGAATATTTGATGTTGTAGGATATGGAGCATCTTCCAGTTTTTTTTTCAAGTAATCAGTATTGTATGTGTATGCATGTGTGTGTACATGCATATGTGTGCCAGAGAAGGTGTCAGGTGACCTGCTCTATTGCTCTCACTTTATCCCAGGAAGACAGGGTCTCTCAGTGGAACTGAGCTCACTGTTTTGGCCAGGCTGGCTGGTGGGTGAGTCCCTGGGATCTGCCTATTTTTGCTTCACGGCACTGGGGCTACAGGCGATGCCCAGCTTTATGTGGATTCTGAGATTCAAAGTCATGTTTGTGAAGCAGACATGCTTACTCACTGAGGCATATCCTCAGCCCCTTGGTCAATATTTTAATTTTATAGTCACCAATGCTGAGAGCCCTGCTTTCAGCATATATAAGTGGTACAAACTAGAAGTTATGTTAAGGGTCATTTTGGAAATTCTTAACAGCTTTTCAAAATGCTGGCGTTCCTGTTTCCTTTCATTGGTGTTATGTTTCTATAAGAGCATCAAACTTCACATGCACCTTAAAAACACCATCTCATATCATACAAAAGTCTTGAACCCAAGCCATGCTATTTCAGGGATTGGCCACTGACATTGCTAGGTGTGTGGCTGAGTGCATTATTGTATGTTCAGGACCAAGGCCAGTGTTGTGTGGTATAACCAGAAACCTGTTACTATTGACACAGTTTTTCACAACCCCCACCTGGTTACACCACTTGGTGTGGGCACATGACCACCAGCTTAAGCTATGGGCTGGAGAAGGGAGGTGGTGTGAACAGACTTGAATCTGAGCTGCAGTGGTTGTGATAAACAGAACTGTAGTTATTGGGGAGGACAGACAGAGGAGAACCTCTGTAGGGCTGTGGATGCCTGGTGGAGCCTCGCTCACCATGTTCACATGGTGCTCACAGATGATACGTGAGAGGCTGCCCATCCTAGAGGTTGGAACTAGATTGCATGGGTTACCATGTTCGTCTTACCAGAGAAGCAGTATACTATGTAAGTGTGGGCTAAGTGAAAGTATGACTGACTCTAGAGTTCTGTCAAGTCAGCAGTAAAGTGTTGCATAATTAAATGAGGTCCACGAGAGCCCATAATAAAAGATAACAAATGTTTATTGGGGAACACTCACAATAGAAAGCCGCTGCATTCCTCTGCTCTGTGGGCACTGGGGTGGCAAACCAAATTCTGGCAGCCAACCATGCAAAGGAAAAAGAGAGGGAGGGATGAGCACACTTCCTGTCTGTGCTTATGGCTCCTCAGACCATGTCCTAATGGGCTGCTATCTAAAAGGCTATCGGCTGAATGAATTCTCACAACACCTTCCCCTTTTGTCTAAATAAGAGGGTTCTAAACCTAAAACAAAACTACACAATAAGTATAGCTCAGTTGGTAGAGCTTGAGACTCTTAATGTCAGGGTCGTGGGTTTGAGCCCCATGCAAGAGTAGTTTCTTGCCCAAACAGCTAGCCTTGTCACATTGAAGGCAAATTCCATAATGAGTTTCTTTAGTGCCCACCAGCCTCTCTGAAGTAATTGGTACTGCCAGGAGCAGACACGTCTCACTGTTGAGAAAAGTCTAAGTTCTTAAAACATTTTAAATGCCATATTCTGTAGGTCTTAGAAAGGTTTAAAGAATACCCATCCATCTGAAATATATCTCTGACATCTAGAAAATCTAACACGACTACAGCTTGACTACTATAGATATCTATTAATCCATAATTTTAATTATATATTACATTTTCAAATGAGCTGTATAGACATAATACCTTAAATAAGAGTATTAATATACATATAACAAAATTGCCCTTAAATTTGTATCAGTAAACCAAAGACCATACCAATGTAAAGTATTCATTCAATGTAAACTTTTTATTTCTTTAGGAAGATCTTGACTGTGACCGTTAACCATTTATAATCAACCTCCTTTAAATGAAAACAAACATTTATAAAAAAAATTATTTTTGAAATTTGGGTGTTGTTTTTTCCAAACTGCTTTTTGCTAATTGGGGGTACTGTTAATCAGGTCTTTTATCAAGTATCCTGTGTGGTTAGTCCACCTCATCCAGCAGTCCTGAAGCTGTCATGGATGTTCTACCAACTGGGCCATCGCTTCAGGGGGTCTTGTTTGATCAAACCATATTAGTTAGTTGGTAAGGAATCCACAGCTTTTTATCCTCTGTAGAAACAAAAGCGGAACCTGTTTTCCAAACTAACATGTCCTTAAACTTAAATTTTGAAGTCAATATACCTTTAAAATATATATGTTGGTTTAGATTAGCAGCCTGTACAATGAAATGTCTCTCTGTAGCCAGCTCATTGATAGTGAAAAATTCAAAGAAAACACAATAAGATCTATAATCTAGATTCTTTATGTATTTTTCACTTTTTAGTGCCTTTTTAAAAATTTAACATTTTATTTAAATTAAATTTTATTTAATTTAAAAAAATACTGTTTTTGAGACAGTATTTCTCTGTAACCCTGGCTGTCCTGGATCTTACTCTGTAGGCCAGGCTGCCCTTGAACTCAGAGATTCACTTGCCTCTGCCTCCCAAGTGCTGGGATTAAAGTCATGTCCCACCATGTTTGTCTAGAATTCATTTTTTTCTTTTTTAAAGCTTTCTCAGGCTTTATGTGGAAATTTTTGCCAAACTTTTGGGCACCTAAAGATCAGAAAATCAAAACAGTCAGCCACTGACTCTTACCTCTACCTCAATCTGAAATGGCGATCCTGCCTCCAGGAATCTCAAAATGAGACTGTGTCTGAGAGCTGTCTCTTCCCATTTTATATTCCTCTTTAGGGCGGGGGATTAAAGGCGTGCACCACTACTACCTGGTTTCTATGACAAACTAGTGTGGCTACTGGGATTAGAGGTGTGTGTCACCACTGCCTGGTCAGTCAGGTTGACTGGGGAGCTATTTTACTCTAATCTTCAGGCAAGCTTTATTTATTAAAATACAAATGAAATATCACTACAGCCATGAGGCTGTAGCTTACCGGTAATGTTCTGGTATATTTTCCTTTGACACCTACATGGTGTCTCTTTGACTCCACCTACTTTCTCTATATATATATCTCTGTTCAGATTTCCTGCCTGGCTTTACTCTGCTAAGCCATTGGCTAAAACACCTTTATTCATCAACCAATAAAAGCAACACATATACAGAAGGACTTCCCGCATCAGTAAAATATTTTGAGGAGGAAAAGTATCTTTTTCTAGTCTATGCAAAATCGTGATATGCTCTGGCCATGAGGTGAAGCAGGTTCACAGGAGCCAGCCAAACCCACAGGTTTTGGGGCATCTAAGGGCAAGGGCTCAGGCAGGGGCTTCAGCACAGCTTAGACTTTACCTGCAGGAATGCAGAGGCTGTGCCTGAGCTCCCCCACCTGTCCATCAAAGCACACTCAATTCTGTGAGGTCCAACAACTTCTTCTGTTCTCTTCTCCCTGGGCACAGATGAGACCACCCTAAGGATGGATGAGGTGGGCCACATCCCACAGACAGCAGCCAGTCATGTGAGCTCCTCCAATAATCCCCCCAGGGATGAGCAGCCACCAGCTGACATGCTGCGGCCTGACCCTCGGGACACCCTCTATCGAGGTAAGACCTTGGTGACATACTGATCACCATGTCGAGGGTCTGCATGAGCCAGGTTCTCTCTGTTGATGGACAAGATGCAGGGGACCTGTCTATTCTATTGTTGGCCCAAAGTCACAAAATCTTTTCCCCTTTGAAGTGTAAAAAATAGCATACAGACCACAATTACAGGAACATTTCTGTCCAATTTATGATTCTACAAATCATTATAGTGATTGTCCAACCCCCACCCCAGACCAGAAATGGAATGAGAGCCCAGATGTTCTCGCTCAGTCCTCTCTGGCCACAAATGCCAGCCTGTGGGTCCCAGCTCTTATCATCCAGCAAGGAATAGCTCAGTCTTTTGGTTTGATGCTGAGGACGGGATCTGGGACCTTGAACTGAGTGAGCTTGTGCCCTGCCACAGAGTGCACCCCCAGGTGGTCATGTTCACATCTTAAAAGCTGACAGTGTGCCCCGTTTCTTCCCTTTGAAATAAAAGAAGGTGGCGGCCAGATGTGTCACCTGTCTACAGTCCCAGCAGTCAGGAGCATGAGGCAGGAAGATCCCGAACTTGTGACCATGGCAGACCCCGTCCCAGAAAAGCAGAACCGAAAAATAGCGAAAGCTGGGCAGTGGGAGGAAGGGAGGAAATCCAGGTAACGGGAGTACACTAAGGTGGAGCCTCGAGGCCCCTTGGAGTGCCACTAGACAGTTACCCAATTGTACCGTCCCTGCTCCCACCACTAAAGAGCAGTGGCAGCCTCATTGTGGCACACTCAGCTGGTAGAAATGAATTGGCACCACAGTGGTCACCCGTGACTACAGTTGGAGGCTGCTCTGGTGGAAGACATCAGGTCTCCCCCACCCAGAAGCCTTTGTGGTCCTAAGATATTTGTGCGTTCACTTCTTCACACACTCCAATCCTCTTCCCTTCTGTTCTCAGTGCCTCTGATCCCCAAGTCCCATCTGCGCCATGTCCTGCCTGATTGTCCCTACAAACCCAGCTACCTGGTAGACGGGCTTCCGCTACAGCGCTATCAAGGCCTCCGCTTTGTAAGTTGTGCCCCTAGACCCGGGAGGACTGGGAGAAGGCCTGCGGCCTGTGGCTGGGGGTATAGGGGATGGGAGATGGGTGAACTGTCCTGCAGAACCTGCAGGTAGATGCCCTGCCTTCGAATCTGTCTTCTCCCCCGGTTCTTCAGCCTGGTGACTCTGCTCCAAGGACCACACAAACCCTGTCCTGTCTTCTCAGTCCAGCAACTGGGTAGCCAGTGACATTTTAAACTCACTGACAAGATGCTTGAGATAATGTACTAGATGTGGGTGGTAGCTTTATCTGTGTGGAGAGTGAAGGAGCAGAAAGAACGTGAAACACCTAGAGATGAAGATGGAGGACCGGAGGCAAGAAGGAAGTGGTCAAGAGTCATGGCCAGGCCAGGGAGTGTGGGCCATGATTGAGGACATTGTTGGTGGTGGTGAGCTCAGGCTGTGTTTAAGGGGCAAAGGGAATGGAGTGTAGAAAGGGCTCAGTGCTGAGAGAGTAGATAAAGACAGGCTCCAGAATGGAAGGAGGGGATCGGTTGGCAAAAGGAAGAAGGAATGGTCTTGGTGACAACTAAAGGAGACAGATGGCCCAGGGAACCCAAAAGAGCAGGTCTGAGAACACTGAAGTCTGGACTGCATAGTTGGCTGTGACATTCAACTCCGTAGCAGCCCTCCCTGTCCAGTGCGGCTCATCCTAGGCTGGTTCCTCCCCAGGATTCCCCACCTCATGTGCCCGTGTCTCCTCTGCTTTCAGGTTCATCTGTCCTTTGTTTATCCCAATGACTATACCCGTCTGAGCCACATGGAGACCCACAATAAATGCTTCTACCATGAAAGTGCCTACGACCAGGAAAGGTGTGTAGGACTTTCGGGGGATCTGTAGGAGTCAGGAGAGCCGCCTAGGCTGGAGGGGCCCCTTCACACTGAGGAGTTCTGGGCCCCCTCACGTGCACCTGTGTGGATGGACCCTCACAGAACAGACGGCCCCAACTCCTTTCTCACTCCTGCCCAGGTAGAACCTGTAAGGAGTCTGGTGTGTGTACACATGTCCCTTCCTCCTACAGGTCCAGCTTCCAGGAGTATATCAAGATGGACAAGCCAGAGAAAGAGGGCCTGGAGCAGCCAGGTACAGAGGCGAATGTGGCTAAGGCTGCCAGGGTGCACCTAGCTGCAGGTGTCGGTGGTCTCTTTCTAGGGAACATTCTAATAGCCTTGCATGACGAGCTTAGCATGCAAACCCTCCTGATCAGTCCCTCTTCACAATCCAGGGAGGAGGAGCTTAGCATGCAAACCCTCCTGATCAGTCCCTCTTCACAATCCAGGGAGGAGGAGCTTAGCATGTAAACCCTCCTGATAAATCCCTCTTCACAATCCAGGGAGGAGGAGCTTAGCATGCAAATCCTCCTGATAAATCCCTCTTCACAATCCAGGGAGGAGGAGCTTAGCATGCAAACCCTCCTGATCAGTCCCTCCTCACAATCCAGGGAGAAGGAGTTTAGCATGCAAATCCTCCTGATAAATCCCTCTTCACAATCCAGAGAAGCATGCTCTAGAGAGACCCTGTCTTGCTGTGGCCTTCCTTCATGAGGGACCAGGGATGGCTGAGATCACCTATTGAGTCCTAAATGGTGCTGATGCTTGAGGTGTTTTATATCACTCGGCTCACAACCTTTTAAGAGGTTGGGGTTTGTTTGTTTATTTGTTTTAAGCTTTTCTTTATTTGCATATGTGCTTTTTTTTATAAAAAAAAATCTCATGCTGGCATTCAGGATAGCCTGGAACTTGCTGTGTAGACCAGGCTAGACTCAACTTTGTGTCAATCCTCCTGTCTCTACCTTCCAAGTGCTATGATTATAGGCATGAACACCTTCATGCTGCCCATCAGCCTTGATGTCAATAGCAAAACTGGGGTGACGGAGGTGGAGTAACTTGTACAGGGTCACCCAGCAAATGACCCCCTTCTGGGCCCCCTCGGTATGGTCGGACGTGTGACCATCTGCTGTTCTGTGTCTTTTGGGAAGGATAGAAACCTCCTGAAATGAGGAATGATTCTTAACAGGTTTTGAGGATGACCTTCTAGAAGAATCCCAGTATGAAGAAGTAGCAGAGGAGATCCCTGCCTCCCGAGATGAGGACGCTGGGACACTAGGGAGGAAGCCACAGACTACTTCCACCCCGGGGCTGGGCATCACTGACTACCACCTCCGGAAGCTCTTGGCTCATCCGCAGAGCGGCCCACTGGCACATTTTTCCAAATACAACTCTACACCTCCCTTTCCAACAAGGGCAAGTGACATCCTAGACCGGCAGCCAGAGAAAAGGAAGGGGAAAAGTAGCCCTGTGACCAACCAAGATTTGTCTCATTCTGACAAGGGGACCCTGAAGAACCTGCCTCTCATTCCGAGAGCTCGACCCACTAGGGACAGTCCTGGGAAGACTCTGGAGCAGTCTCAGTGGCTGAATCAAGTGGAGTCCTTTATTGCTGAGCAGAGACGGGCTGACCGGATGGAGCCCCAGGCTCCTGCTCCTAGCAGGGACTGGCGTGGGGAGGAGGAAGTGGTGGTAGCAGCGGGCCAGGAAGGAGAAGTGGAGGAAGAGGAAGAGGGGGAAGAAGAGGAGGAAGACATGAACGAAGCGTTCGAATATGTACCTGTGTTTGACCCGGTGGTGAACTGGGACCAGACCTTCAGTGCTCAAAACCTCGACTTCCAAGCCCTGAGGACCGACTGGATTGATCTGAGCTGTAACACATCTGGCAACCTGCTGCTTCCGGAGCAGGAGGCCCTGGAAGTCACACGGGTCTTCCTGAGAAAGCTCAGCCAGAGGACCCGGGGGTAAGGTAAAGGGCTCCCCTGGGGCTGGGGCGTGGGTAGACGGCAGCCGCTGCCCTCGGGGAGCCCCTCCCCCAACCTGTGGGATGAAAGCAGGGTTCCTGCTGCAGGAATAGCAAACCTTTGCTGGTATTCTGGGGTGTGAGAAGGTTGTGTGGCTTCACCCTGACTGGAGCTGAGGACTGGCACCTGCCCTCTGAGAGGGAGCTTGGGAACAGAGAAACAAGCAAAGCAGGCTGGCAACATAAGTCACAGCCTCAGATGGAGCTTAGAGGGCGTGGCTAGAGCCCTGCCCTCCCTCACCTCTCCTTTCCTCCCCACTCCTTATACCCTCTCTTACTTCATATGCTCATTTGTTAAATCAATCAAGATTCTCAGAGAAAAGTCACAGGCTATTAAACTCAGTATGCTGGTGTGTGCAAACGTGTTGGCTTCACACGTACCTTCACAGCACGGTTCAGCTGTCACTAGTGTCTAATAACTCCTGGGCATTTCCATTCCCTTGTGTTAACTTGGGTTCCTGTACCCACACCCACTAGTCAAGTGCCGCCCTACTAAACTATGTCCCTAGCCCTTTCTTTTCTTTCTTTATGAAATAGGGTCCTAATGAGTTACTAAGGTTGGCCTTGAACTTGTGATGTAGCACAGCCTGGAACTTGAGATCTTCTTGCCTCTGCCCCCAGAGGAGCTGGGGTTCCAGACCTGTGCCTCAAGGCTTGAGGACAGGGAAAGGAGAGGAGAGGAAAAAGTTCTCCCGGCGAGTTATTTTTAAACAGTTCTCTCTCACCATAGTTATTTTAGTGTGCTATAAAACAGAGCTAGCCCACCTGTCTAAGTGCATCCTGTACCCTGACTGCCCCACCTCTATTCTGTCCCCCATTCTTCGCAGGCTCGGGTAACCACTGTTCTACTCTGTGCTTCTGTAGGTAGCTTTTTTCTTCTACATATAGATGAGGACATGTGGTATTTGTCTTTCTGTGCCTGAGTTATTTGTCCTACAATTGCATCCGTGTTACTGTGGAAGGATTCTGCTGTTTATAGCTAGATAACATTTCATCCTATATATAAATCAATGCTGTTTACTCATTCAGTTATGGTAAACACTTTGGTTCAACATTTTGACGATTGTAATGAGAGCTGCCGTGCACATGTGAGGGCAGAAGCCGTTCACAGACCAATTTCAGTTCCTTTGGGTAGTGGGGTAGCTGGATCAGATGGGAACTCTAGTTGTAGTTTTTTGAGGAGCCTCTGTGACTTTTTTCTTTAGTAAGCCACACTAACTTAAGTTCCCACCAGCGTGTGAGAGGGTCACCCGTGGTCTATCTGCATCTTCCATTTTATTTTGGTCAACTTGACAGCTGTCAATCTTGCTGGGGTGAAATGGTGTCATTTTGATCTTACCCTGATGATTAACAATACTGAATATTTTCATATACTTGTTAATCATTTTTTAAAGATTTATTTATTTTATCTTATATGTATGAGTATTTTGTCTGCATGTTTGTGAGCACATTGTGTATGTTCCTAGTACCCTAAGAGGCCAGAAGAGGGTGCTAGATCCTCTCAAACTGGAGACAGTTATGGTTGTGAGCCACCCTGTGGGTACTGGGAAGCAAACCCAGGTCCTCTGGAAGAACAAGTGCTGTTAACCACCCTTTCTGGCCCATCCACTTCCTGCCCCTTCAACTCTTTTTGATCTTGTTTGGTTTGGGGTTTGTTGTTATTGTTTGACACAGACAATAGTCTGTGTTGCCTAGACCAGCCTTGGTTTGTTTTTGTTGTTGTTTGTTTGTTTGCTTGTTTTGGTGACCCTCCTGTGCCCTCTTTCTAAGTGCTAGGATTATAGACCTGTGCTACCATGCCTGACTTTTTGTTTTTTGTATGTGGTCTTGACTGGTCTGGAACTTACTATTTGGATAGAGCTAGCCTTGGACTCACAAGCAGAACTCTTGTTGCTTGGACTTATAGACATATACCTGACTTTTGATGTTTTTTATTTTGTTTTGTTTTGTTTTTTGAGATGAAGTCTTGAGCCTGTGTGAACCTGGAATACAGGTCATGCCTCAATGTTTATTTTACTATCTTTTAAAAGGTATCTCTCTGTTCCCAGAGAGATAGCTCAGTGGATAAGAAAAGTGGAAAGTTTTCATTTACCATGAAAACTTTAGGGCCTGAGTTCAAATTCCCACAGAACAGCCTAGTTCGGCTTTCCATGCCTGTAATTCCAGCGGTGGTGGGGGAGACACGCGGAGCTGGTGAGGTCTCTGTTCCCCTGGGCGTGTGCTTCCTCTAGTTTGACAGAGTCGTAATTGTTCATTTTGGCTTTCTGTTGCCTGTGCTTTGAGGCTCATTCAGACAGCCTTTGCCCAGAGCAATGTCCCGAAGCATTCATTACCTGGGTGTTTTCTTTAGCGGTGCCACCATTTCTGGTGCTAAATAGAAACGTCTGAGCCTGACTGGCTTTGAGTTGATTTTTGAGTGGAGAGAAATGTGGGCTTCGTTTTATTCTTCTGCACATGTAGTTCCTGCTTCCAGCAGACACTGTTCCCTAGACAAGGTACGTTTTACTGCCTTGGTTGCCAATCCGTTGGCTGGAAATGCCTGGCTTATTTCCGGGCTCACTCACTGGACAGCTGTGGGCTGTTGCTGTTTTGAGTACCCGGTGTTGGGTGAGTATGCTTAGAATTGTAGCAGCCTCCTGGTGGGTTTTCCCTTTAGTCAGTATGAAGTGGCTTTTTGTCTCTTCTGACTGTTTTGGTTTGAAGTTTATGTTTTTAGATATTAGAGCAACACCCGTTTCCTAGGCCATTTGCTTGGAGCACCTTTGCCATCCTCTTACTCTGCGGTAGTGTCTTTATTTGATGGAGACGTGTGTTTTTTTGAAGGCAACAAATAGATGAATCCTGTTTCGTTTTGTTTATTTTCGAGACAGGGTTTCCCTGTAGCTTTGGAGCCTGTTCTAAAACTAGCTCTTATAGACTAGGCTGGCCTTGAACTCACAAGAGATCTGCCTGCTTCTGCCTCTTGAGTGCTGGATTAAAGGTGGTGTGCCGCCACTGCCCGGCTTTTTTGTTTGTTTGTTTCGTTTTGTTTGTTTTTTAAGATTCATTTAAAAAGTTTTTTTACCCTTATTTCTATTTTATGTGTATATTCTTTTGCCTGCACGTACATCTGTGTACCACATGTGTGCAGTGCCTGCAGAATCCAGAAGAAGGTGTTTGGTCCCCTGTGGCTGGTTTTACAGATGCTTACGAACTGTCTTGTGGGTGCTGGAATCCTGCACAGGCCCTTTGGAAGAGTAGCCAGTAGTCTTAACTGCTGAGTCATCTCTCCAGATCCAAGATTTACTTTTAGTGTGTGTATACGGGGAGTGCTAGGAGTGGGGAGGGCTTGTGCATGTGTGAGTGTCGATGCCCTCAATATTTAGAGGAGCCTGTCAGATCCCCTGGAGCTGGATGACTGTTAGCCACCTGATGTGGGTGCCAGAAATTCAACTCAGGCTCTCTGAAAGACGGCAAACACTCTTTACCACTGAGCTATCTTTCAAGTCCCTGGATCCTGTATTTATTTGTGTGTTTGTTTTTGTTGTTGGTTTTTTGTTTTGTTTTGTTTTGAGACAGGGTTTCTCTATGTAGCCCTGGCTGTCCTAGAACTCTATCTGTAGACCAGGCTGGCCTCAAACTTAAAGAGAGCCACCAGCCTCTGCCTCCCAAGTGCTGGATTTAAAGGCATGAGCCATCACTGCCCAACTTGTTTTTTTTTTTTTTCTTAATGTGGGTCAATTTCCCAAGGAATCTGTCACAAGATTCCCTTACATTGAGTCTTAGAGCTATAAAAGGCCTTAAAAATCATTCCACATTTGAAGATGAAGGAGTGAGTCTTAGGGCAGATGTATATCTTGTATGAGCCTCTACAGCTAACCAATGGCAGGGCAAAGACAAAACTAGGATCTGACAACTGAGCCTGCAGGCTTTTACCACACACCCTCTGCTCACTCTGGGGGTCCTCTGTACCTCAGGAGATACCAGCTGCAGCGCATTGTGAATGTGGAGAAGCGCCAGGACCGGCTGCGTGGAGGCCGCTACCTCCTGGAGCTTGAACTGCTGGAAGGCCAGCGCCTGGTGCGCCTCTCAGAGTACGTGTCCACTCGAGGCTGGCGGGGAGGTGACAGCATTGGTGGAGAGGACACAGAAAACCGGAACCTGCAGGGCTTGGTCTGGAGCCCACATCGTCGCCGCAGACATTTGCTCAATGTCCAGGATCCAGAGCCAAAACTGTGCTGGCCGCAAGGTTTCTCCTGGAACCATCGAGCTGTGGTCCACTTTATCGTGCCTGGTAAGTGTTACCAGAATGGGGTCTTGGTGATCACCATGAGCACTGGGCCTGCTTTCTTCATTTTATCTCCCAAGGATTTCTGAGTGAAGCCTTTGAGGAACTGGGATTCACAAGGGAGAACAGAGTGAGCTTTGTGTGGAACCGAGACCTCATGCTGAGTTGAAGCCACTGCTTTGTGCCATGCTGGGTCTCTGGGTTGGGTGTGAGCACCAATTTGGGTTGTTGTTGTTGAAGAAATAAGAGTGAGGGTATTATATGGAGTGGGTTTTATTTCGATTATTTTTTGTGCTGCTGGAGATCAAATCCAGGGCCTGGCACTTGCTAAGCAAGGCACGGAGCCACACCTCCAGCCCTAGAGTCGTCTGTACGATGAGGAGGGAAAACATGAGACAATATAAAAATGTAAAACAAGAGACAAGAGTGTGAGTAAGATGGTTAGAGAGTGGGTCTGTTAAAACTGGGCAGGGTTGCTGCCATGAGGCCCACCCAAGGCTGTCTCCCAGTTTGCCTGGGAGGTGTTCGGCGAGCTATAGAAGGCCCGTGCACTGGCCCTCAGGTCCTTGTGCTTCATGCTAACGATTCCTATAGTTGCATTATCTCCTGGCAGAGGTAGATGGAACTCCTGACTTGGGCAGAGCGGAAGGATGTTTTCTTTTCCCTAACTCTGCCGTGTTCTCCCTGCTTGACCTACCTGCGTAGTGAAGAACCAGGCTCGCTGGGTGCAGCAGTTCATCAGAGACATGGAGGGCCTGTCCCAAGTCACTGGCGACCCTCATTTCAACATCATTATCACAGACTACAGCAGCGAGGACATGGATGTGGAGATGGCTCTGAAGAGATCCAGGCTGCGGAGGTGAGGAAGGTCTCTGGCTGCAGATGCCTTGCCCCCTTGCCAGCATCCCAGGACTACTGGTCAGGGCAGAACCAGAAGTGGCAGCCAGCTCTCCTGAGTCCTGATGTTAAACTTTGCACCCCTGCCCACAACTCAGGAGCAGCTGCCGTCTCTGCTTTATGCCTCCCAACTTCCTTCAGGGACCCTACAGCTGAATCCTCACACTCGGCCCCTCCTTCTCTTCCTGCAGCTACCAGTACCTGAAGCTGAGTGGAAACTTTGAGCGCTCCGCTGGACTGCAGGCTGGCGTAGATCTGGTGAAGGTAATGGGCCTCAAGGACGCTTGGGAAGGTGATCAAGCGTAGTTAAGAGGCAGAGAGACACTGGGAAGAGAGTCAGCTCCTTAGTAGGAAAGGGATTGGGTCACAGGACTGTGCTTGTCACTGTCCATTCCTGTAACAAGATAACCTGAGTGTCCTCCTTCGCTTTCTGTTGCTGTGATAAACACCATGACCAAGAGCAACGTGGGGAGGAAAGGGTTTAGCTGGTTCACGCGTCTGGATCCCAGTGGATCACTGATGGAGGGCAGGGCAGGGCGGGGACGCAAGTAGGAACCATGGAAGGCTTGCTCCTCATAGCTTGCTCAACTTTCTTTTCACTTTAGTTTTATGAGCCGCCCTGTGGGTGCTGGGAGTCAAGCCCAGGCCCCCGGCAGAGCAGCCAGTGCTCTTCACCTCTCAGAGCCACCTCTCCAGTCTCCATCTTGTTTTCTCGCCTGGGGAGGCACCATCCACATGGTCTGGACCCTCCCACATCAGTCATGAATCAAAGTGCCCCATAGACTTCTCCAGATGTCAGTCTGATGGGGGCATAATTGAGGTTCTTCTTCCTAGATGATCCTAGCTTATGTCAAGTTGATACAAAAAAAAAATCAGCTTACTGCATTAAATTACGATAACATTAGTTTGTTAATTATTTGTGATGTTGGGAATTGCACTCGAGGCCTTGTGCGTGCTAGGCAAGCACTCCACCACCCAGCTCTGGAAAGGTTCGTTTGGGTCTTGGTTTTAGTCAGTGATCACTTTGCCCCATTGCTTTTGGGCCTGTGGTGAGGGAATGAATCATGGCACAGAATCCATGGCACAGGACACTGCTCGCCCCATGGTAGCCAAGAAGTGAAAGAGAAGGCTGGGCTCCCAGAATCCATGCCTCCTCGTGACTTAACCCCTTCCACTGGGCCCCACACTGGTTTCCAGTGGCACCACAGGCTGGAAAGCAATCCTTTATCACATGACCTTTGGGGGATACTTCGAAACCTTAGCAAGGAGCATCCTTGGCACGGTATTGTGGACCCTGCACTGCAAGGGGACTGAGGAAATGAGGTGTTTTCCAGTTGTCAGAGTCCACAGACCCCATGAAACATGGGGCAGAAATCAGGCATTGTGGTATGTGCCTATAATCCCAGCTCCGAGGAGTCTAAGACAGGGGGAGCTTGACTTGAGGCCACCTGGACTACACAGCCAATCCCAGACTAGTCTTCCGAGAGTCGTCTCAGAAGAAAGTGGGAGAGGAGCCTGTGTTCACCGTGTGATGTGAGAACTCGGCCCTGCTAACCGGGGTTGTAGAAATCTGTCTCGTATTTAGCTTTGTGTAACCTGTCAGTCGCTCCAGTAGGGAAGGGCCTGAGGAGGCCTCTAGAGTAGTGGTCACGACCCCCTTGACAAGCCTGTCTCAAAAAAAAAAAAATTACGATTCATAATAGTATCAAAATTATAGTTATGAAGTAGCAACATATTTTATGGTTCAGAGTCATCACCACATGAGGAACTGTATTAAAGGGTTGCAGCGTTAGAAAGGTTGAAAACAGCTGCTCTAGAGAGTGGCCCCGTCTCCCAGCTCTGGTCCAGAGGTCTGCTGACCTTGCCTTCTCCATCCCCAGGATCCACACAGCATCATCTTCCTCTGTGACCTGCACATCCACTTCCCAGCAGGAATCATCGATACCATCCGCAAGCACTGTGTAGAGGGCAAGATGGCCTTTGCCCCCATGGTGATGCGGCTGCACTGTGGGGCCACCCCGCAGTGGCCTGAGGGTGAGCCTTGCCCTGGATGAGGAAGAGGAGACACCCTCTGACCTTAGTGTTTAACCCCAAGACTGGAAAAGTTTATGCCTAAGCATCAGCATCTTCCCCATCCTGCCTTCCCGTGTTCTCTGATCTTTGGAGAGACCCGGGGCTCTACTGACAAACACAGTAGCAGGCGAAGCAGTGGCTCTTTCCCCTGGTCCCCAGCATGCATTCATCCAGCATTCAGAAAGCATTTGCTATGGGTTGGATGCTGTGCCTGGAGGATAGGAAGGTGGAGAGAGGAAGTAGATGGGAAAACCAACTCACAGCTGCCAGAAGACTGCTGGGATCACATCCTAACTGCCAGGCTACAGTTAGGTTGTAACATCAGTCTACAGTCACTGCTGTGTTTGCTGAATCTCAGGCCTTGATGGGGGACCCCCCCAGGCAGTCCAAGGGTTTTCCTTAGCTGACAGTCTTTTGCCTCTGCTGCTCAACTCTGTACCTCCAGAAGAGCCTGTGGGAACACAGCATCCAGCTCGTTCAACAGTGTCTTGTCTGTACACAGGCTACTGGGAGGTCAATGGATTTGGGCTGCTTGGCATCTACAAGTCCGACCTGGACAAGATTGGAGGAATGAACACCAAGGAGTTCCGAGATCGCTGGGGAGGCGAAGACTGGGAGCTGCTGGACAGGTGACGTAGGAGCAGGGCCTTCAGAGCCTCGGAGCCGTGCTGCCGAGTCCCAGGGCTGGGAAAGTATGCTGGTCTGGGAGCTCCCGGAGGCTGGCTTCACTGACACTCGGGCTGTGTATCCAGCAGAGCGGGTGATCCATCCACTGTGAGTCACAGTCTGAGTGGGCGGTTGAGCTGTCACAGGTAAAGCAAGATGCTGGAGCTAAGTGGGGAGTGATGATGTTCTCAGGACCAGGCGAGCTACTGGGCGCTTTCTCCCCAGCCAGGGATCATGCTCTTCCCAGACACAGCTGCCTGCAGGAGGGCCTGAAAGCTGTGAGAGGACCTGGGAGACAGGCCAAGGGTTAGGGGGGAGTTGGGAGCCAGCACAATTGGCAGTGTAGACCATTGAATGGCAACGGGATATCCAGGGGATCTGCATTCCTGGAGGTGAGAAGGGAAGGGGCTCTGAGAAGAGTAAATAGTCTCCGAGAAGGGAGAAAGGGCTGAGCAAATAGTGCGTTTGCCTAGCGTAAATGAGGTCTTAGGCAATCCCTAGTGCTAAAGAAGGAGGGGCACGTGTGTGTAGGTGTGTGTACATATACACACATTCATCACTTTTGTCATCATTGTGACAAAGTCCTTGACCAAAGCAATTTTAGGGGAAGAAGAGTTGGGGGAGGATCCGTGCGGGGCGTCGTTCATAGAGACGGGAACTCCTGGCCCTGGGCAGACTAAGAAGCAGAGCGAAAGAAACAGCCTGGGACCAAGACAGAGTGAGACACGTGACCCAGTGCAGACCCTGTGTTATCATGTACTCATACACTTATATTCTTAACCTGGTGTGGTAGCTACATCGCTAATCCCAGTACTGGGGAGACAGGAGGCAGGAAGGCTGCCATAAGTTCAAGGCCAGCCTGGGCTACACAGCAAGACCTTGTCTCAATCTCCATTCCCCCAAAAAAGGGAAGGAAAAAGGAGAGAAATGGGGGGCGCACAGTGGGAGCAGTAGACCGGGCAGGTGGCCAGCAAAGTGTTACTAGCAAGAAGCAGGGTTCTTGTGTGGCCGCTGGGCTGCAAGAAGGGGAGGAGCCTATTGCAGTGAGAATGTTTCTCCCTGCATTTGCATGTGAGTCCTCTTTCCCAAAAGAAGGGGAAGGGAGAGGATGCCACCTGGAGTTATGAGCCTAAGGTAGGCCCTGAGAGGGGGAAGGAAAGCCTGTAAGTGTGGGAAGGAGGAAGGGACAGGCCAGGGGCACCAGGGACTTCCTGCTTCTTGAGAGGGAGGACAAGGTGCAACCACCAACCTCTGGGTTATTATTGGCAAGTGGGGTTCATGCCCAGGACCTCATTCATCCTCACCAAACTCCTGGGCTCGGTGTAGGTGTCTCCATTTCTCAGAGGGAAAACTGCTCGTGAAGAGTAGTTAATAACTTGCCCCTTCTCTCCTGAAAAGCAGCAGAGGCTTTAAAATCAGACCCATCTTTGATTTCCCACTGGAGAAAAGAGAACAGAAGAATACTGAAATACTGAGAATTAAAGGTGGGGTGGAGAGAGGTTCAGAGAGCTCGTGTCAAATAACTCAGTCCCAGGGATCCACATCACAGTGACTCCGAAGCAGATGGGAGCCCAGTGTAGTGGTTACTGTCACCACGACACTTCGTGCTGGGTTTTGTGCTTTGATACAGACCTCCAAAATAGTTCTTAACCCTCCTGCTGTCTTTGAGACCGGAGGAAAGAGCAGCTTCTGGTTCAATCTACTTGCCATCCTCTTTGAAGTGTAGGCCTCCTTGGAAAGGGACCCCTCCCTTGGTGGCTGGGCAAATGAGAGCGTTGCCTAGTCTGTGTGAGACCTTGGGTTTGAGCCCCAGCACTGTAAGAAAAAAAAGCCGGACTGTGCGACACACACCTGTAATCTCAGTTTTCAGGAGGCTGAGGCAGAAGGATCTTGAGTTAGAGGCCAGCCTGGGTTACTTAACAAGATGATTCCCCCTCCCCCACAACAGCCAGACAGAAACGGGCAGAGCCTGTGGGTAGTTTCTCCAGTTCCGGGCTCCTGGTACTGTGAGGTGATTAATATAAGCTGGGAACTGTGCTGCGTGCTGCAGATCCAGTGTGTGTGCATGCATGCATGTGTGCGTGCGTGCATGTGTGTAAGTAGAGGATGGTGTGCCTATATAGATAGGCACATTTCTAAGATTATTGTCTTTTTCTAGAGAGGAGGGAGCGTGTCTTTGATAGGCAGCTTTTCGAGTTACACAGCTGTGACTGCAGTCAAGGCAGGTTGGCCCCACTGCACCTGGCTTGCTTTTTGCCCCGAGGGAAGTGACCAGAGGAAGGAGGGCAGGGTCTGACAAATATGTGGAAGGGTGGGTTCCTCAGAGCCCAGTTGCTCCTGGACGCCTGTTGCCCGGGTGCCTGTGGCGTTCCTGCTTCCGCAGGCTCACACTGCCCTCTGTCCTCCAGGATCCTCCAAGCAGGCCTGGAAGTGGATCGGCTCTCCCTCAGGAACTTCTTCCATCACTTCCATTCCAAGCGAGGCATGTGGAATCGCCGCCAGGTGAAGATGCCATGACCACCAGGGACAGCTGCGTACGGCTCCTTTACTTCCGGTTGACTTCAAGAGGGACTATGAGGAACAGAAGCCTCGGTGCTCACTGACCTCTCCACCAGGGACAAGTGTGGAGGCCCCTCTGCCACCCACCGAGTTGACAGTTGGAACAGCTGCATAGGATGGGCAGTGAGGTCCAAAAGAAAACACCCTCTTGAATAGGATACCATCATGGACCACAAGGGTGCACCCCCACAGCCCCAGCCCTCCTCGTGGGGAGTGTTGACCATGAACAAGAAACTTCAGTGGGACAGATTTTATTTGGAGTGGAGGCGAGTGGGGAATAATTTGTAACAGAATGAAGACTTCTGTCTAGACCCAGCACTGACTGGGAGTGAAGCTGTGCATTGCAGACCTCAGACCCACTGAGGTGCTGGTCCCATGTGGAGTACCTCAGCTCCAGGCTCAGTCTGTGCCTTTGAAACACACACATTCGTCCTGGTAGTCACTGGACAGCTAGCCGGCCACCGACTGGGTATTAACCCAACTCCTACAGAGAGGGTTCTTTAGTGGAAACCCAACATTGGTGGCATCTACCTACTGCAACGGGGTGCAGAGCGGGAATGGGTGGGCAGTGGGCCCATTCTCCCCATTGTCTGACATGTGGGCTGTGTAGAACCCGCAAGGCCATGCTGGCTGAGAAATGCCCCTTCTCCTTTGGCTCGCCTGCCAGTTAAGACCTGGAGATAATAGAGAGACCACCAAAGGTGACATAGGTAACCCTTAAGTCAACTTCTTAAGTGAGAATTTGGGAGGGACTAAGCAGGGAGTGGCAAGGGAAGAAAATGTATACCGTAAGCTTAGCAGCCCTGTGGCCTTACCCTCTCTGGAGAGAGTCCCAGCCTCCCCACCCTGAAGAGAAGAGGCAGTAAAACCTGGCCATCTCATAAGGGACAGGGTGAGGTGGGGGAAGCAAGGCCATGGACAGGAAGAACTGAAAAATGGTTAGTTTTGGGGACAGCAGCCTGTAACCTTTTCTGTCTTTGGCTACCCGTTCTGTCCCCTAATGTCACATACTTACCTTGCACCAATAGTCCCAGTGCTCTGTGGCTGGGACTTCCTGCTGCTGCTGCTGCACCAGCGGAGCATTAGATGCTGGGTATTAAACCCAGTCTGTGGGGGAATTGGCGCAGCGCCTTTCCGCTTTGAGAAAGGACTAATGGGGTGTGCAACAGAAAGGGTTCCACTCCGCGGAGCCTGCCTTTCACGCTGTGAATCGAAAGCGCAGCATTTGGAGCTGCAGGACCCATGTGGTGGACTCTGCAAGTACCAAGAACAGTTTGGCATCTGCAAAGTGGTACCCACTGGGAACCCGCTGGGCCTTGCCTTTAAGCAATCAGAAGGGCAGGGCGGTTCTGTCCATGGGTTGTGGCCTCTTCTCATCCCTGCTCAGGCCTTCTGCCCTTTAGAAAAGGCACATAGGAAGTAGGTTAGGGCTACAGTCGGGCAGCTGGAGTGCCAGGCTTCTCTAAGGCCATGGATTCTTGGAATTGGGCTGGAAGGCCAAAGCCAGTCCCTGCAGTCCTCTGTTTCTGAGGACTGGGAGCCCTCCAGGCCTTCTCCACCCTGCTCACCACCTTCCTCCCAGGTCTAGTGCCTTGTGTTTGATGTCTGTTACCTCCTTACCATCTGCCTTAAGGGAAAGGAAAGTGCTGTGGGTGGGGAGAGGGAGGAGGGCACTAAAGTCAGCATCTTAGAAAACAAAAGACTGTTTCCCTGTTGCCCAAGAACCAGGAGACAACACTGGTGTCCCTCAGCTGTTTGCTCAGTTACAGCTAAGGACTGTCCCTTGCCTTCGGCCTCGGTGCTTGCTGACAGAAAGGGCAAACTTTCTGTGTTGTGGTGTGCTGTCCTGGCTGTATCTCACAGTCTCGGCAGCCCAGGTTAGAGGAGGTCACAACCTTAGCTGGAGAGGCTCCCCCCGCCTGAAGAAGGCTGGCTGGAACAGTGCAACCGTAATCCCAGCACTTGGGAAGCTGAGACATGAAGATCTGGCGTGCAGGGCCAGCCTAGGCTACCTAACAAGAACCTGCCTAAATAAAGAAATAAAGAAATGAAAAAGTTTCTTCTGAGTGGTTTGAAGATGGCCTAGCAACGATTTGCAGCTGTGAGTTGGCCTTCCTAGTTATGTTTGACCTAGGCAATTTTTTTTTAACTTTAATTCTTCAAGATTTTTAAAAGTTTATTTTAATTTTATATTCATTGGTGTTTTGCCTGCGTGTATATCTGTGCGAGGGTGTCAGATTCCTTGGAATTGGAGTTACAGACAGATGTGAGCTGCCATATGGGGGCTGGGAATTGAACCCTAGGTCCTCTGGAAGAGCAGTCAGTGCTCTTCATCGCTGAGCCACCTCCTATTTTTCAAGGTTTTATTTTCTATGTGTGGGTGTTCTGCCTGTATGTTTATCTGTGCCCCATCTGAGCACCTGGTGCCCAAGGAGGCCAGAAGAGGGCATCGGAGTCCCTGGAACTGAAGTACAGACAGGTGTGAGTTGCCGTGTGTGTGTGTGTGTGTGTGTGTGTGTGTGCGCGCGCGCGCGCTGGGGATCGAACTCAGATCCTCTGGAAGAGCTGCCAGTGCTCTAAACCACTAAGCCATCTTTCTAGTACCCCATTTTTAAAATGAGATATTAAGTCATTTAGTGTTGCCTTTAATCTCAGCACTCCAGAGGCAAATGCAGGTGGGTCTCTGTGAGCTCGATTTCTTTAGGCAAGAAATCTTGCCTAAAAAAAAAAAAAAGCCCCCAAAATTAAAATTAAGCTTCTTCATTTAGAGTGTGTATGGTATTCGCAGGCCACATGGGCTGGCCAGAAGGCAGCCTTTTGTGATTGGTTCTCCCCAACCCCATACCATATGGGGTCCTTGGGGTCCTTGGGCTTGGCAGCAAGCACCTTTGCTCACTGAAAGTTTGCATTTTCTCAGCAGCTGAAAATCTGTATTCTTAAAAGATGTCTAAGAGACCGTTAATGTGAAAAGTACAGTAGGTTGATAGTAGAGACCTTAAAAACTCTGTGTGTTCATCAGTCCAGCACTCAGCACCTGTTTCTGAGGTACAGATGGCATAAGCCCTTTCCAGGGCACAGATGATGAGGGCATCTGCATACCAGCCTGGTTCAGAGCCCACATGACTGGAGACAGCAAGACTCATTTGGTGGCTTTTCAGACATCTTTATAGATAGGGAAGGGAAAATTGAGGCTTGGAGCAGAGGGGAGGAATGCAGTGGAAACAGAGTCTGCGGCTGTGTAGACTGCCTGAGACCCAGTTACCGTTGCTGGAGCACAGGGTGGCCGCTGCAGAAGCTGAGCTCAGGCCTCCGGACCAAGATGCAATTACATCACCCAGTAAGACGGCACAACTTAGTTCAGGCGCTGCAGGCAGGAAGCAGGGGCATCTTCATTGCTCCCGAAACTCTCCTGGAGGCTGTGGAAAGTGCTAGTTAGCCTGACAGGTCAGGGCCAAAGGCTGAGGCCGGTTCAGGCTCGGTTCCTGTGGGAAAAGTAGACAGACAAAAGACAATGAAATGGCAGGCCGAATGAGGCTCCTCAGACTGGATTTGCACCCAAGTCACCAGGGGAAGGAAAGAGTGGTGTGATTCGGCGGCCTGAAGTGCAGGGCCTGAAGCACAGTTTCCAGTTGTCTCCAGGGAGCACTGTGGATGCTGCTGCTGGCTCTTGTGCCATGGTGGCAGTAGCAAGCAGTGCTTGACTAGGACACTGGAGGACAGCACCAACCAGAAGCCACAGCTCCCCTCCTTCCCAACAGGCCACAGTGGCCTTCCACCCCGTCCCAAACTGTGGGGTAAAAAATATACCTAAAAACGGCCTGGGTGTGACACACCTGCCACCTGTGGTTACACAGGGACTTTAAGTCTAGCCTGGGTTACAAGAGACAGTCCCAACTGAAGGATCGTCACTCCTTCAGAGCAAAGGCCTCACTAAGTCCCCCCATGGGACATGTACTGACTTGTGGGGGACTCATTTTATAACCAAGCACTCATGGTGCGTGTGCTGTGGGAGGCCCGTGCTTTAAACCAGCACTAATTGTGAAAGTTCTGTTGGAGGCTACCGTGCATACTAACACTTACTGCGCGTGTACTGTGATTGACTCGTGGATACAACACAGCATTCATTGTGCATGTACTACAGGAGGCTTACACGTGTATCTTACTCATGGTGTATGTACTGTGCAAGGCCCATCAGCCCTTCAAGAACCTCCTTATTCCAAAGGTCTGTAGACTTTCCCCCCTTGGTGTGGGGAGGGAGAGCCCTTTTATTCCAACGGCCAAAGGCAGCAAAGGTCAGTTGCGAGCCCTTGGATCTGAGGTCCTCTGGGCCTCCACCTCACCTGGGACCTAGGTAGGAATTAAACAGGATTGCTGGAGGTCCTGGCAGCCATGGAGCCTGTCTTGTGTGCCCCGAAAGCGGTGATAAAAATGTTGATGACCACAGTAATGAAGACCAAGGTGGTAGCAGCATTGTTGAGCTGATTCAGACGCCACTGGTTCCCTACCTCATTCAGGTTCAGCCTGGCTGTGGAGACAAGATCAGGTGGGTGGTGGGTGAATCTAGGAAGACATCAAATCACTGGATTGAGATGTGTTCGAGTCTTCTGACTGGCACATGAGGCAATTCACATGGTGCTTCATAGAAAGGGGTGGGGAGCAAAGACATCATCGAAGAGGAGACGGGTGCTTACAATATAAGACCGCTACTAACCAGGCGGTGATGGCGCACGCCTTTAATCCCAACACTTGGGAGGCAGAGGTAAGCAGATCTCTGTGAATTCAAGGCCAGCCAACTCTACAGAGCCAGGTCCAGGACAGTTAGGACTGCTACACTGAGAAACCCTGTCTTGAAAAGCCAAAAGAAAAAAAAAGACTGTCCTGTGGAGTCAGTCATTCAGCAGCTGTCGGTGGGTGTACATCTATGGGGTATGAGGAGAAAGGACAGGAGGTGCCCTCACTGTAGGATAGAGGACTGGCTTTGTTAGCAGGTGGCTGGGAAGTTTCATGTGCATGCCAGGCCCTTTCCCACCACCAGGGGGCACCAAGGCAGAAAGTACAGGCTGGGCTTACCAATAACCACGAGAAGAATGCCAATGACAACTTGCAGGAGCAGAGAGACACTGATGAGGGCGATGAGGGTGGCGTAGTACTGCGAAGATGGCCCCTGCTCCAGCACCACTTTCAGCCGCGTGGCATTGGACATGAAGAGCGCCACATCCAACATGCTCTCTGCCACGCTCTTCTTGGTGGCATAATGGTTCAGATTGAGAGGCTGGTGCCTTTGGGAGATGGAGTGCCCGTGCTGTAAGAGAGGAGATTCCGGTGAAGGGGCTGGGAGGGAAAGAAGGCGGGCTTTAATACCCTTCCCAAAGGAGATGGAATGTCCTCTTGGGTGACAGTGCCGGTGTCCCTGTTCAGCTTCCGACCTGAAACCAGCGAAGGGTTGGTTAGATGAGCAGGTGGGTGAGTAGTGGACGGACTATTGGATGAACGGACTGGGGGATGGAACCTCTGGACCACTAAGCTCTGGATTAATTGACGTTGCCTTGTGATATCTGCTTCACAGAGAGCCGCTGGTCCCTTACACCTTCACATAGTCAGCTGAAGAAAGACAGCAGAAGGAGCTCCGAGGTCTTCCAGAATGGCTGGCCAGTGCCTTGATCAAGAGTCCTAGAATTTCAACCCCACGCCAGCACACACTGAATGTCAAACATGGACTGTTAGAAAACTCATGCACACAGCAATGCATATGAGTTGAAAGTTCTTAATTTTAAAAACCGTTTGGGGAGACTAGGGATGTAGCTCAGTAGTACCTTGCTCCACAGCATGTCCAAGGCCTTAGTTTTAATTCCTGCCACTGCTGAAATAAATTATTATTATTATTTTGGTTTTTTAAGGCAGGGTTCTCTATCTAACAGCTTTGACTGTTCTGGAACTCTCTCTGTAGTCCAAGCTGCCCTTGAACCCACAGAGATCTCCCTGCCAATGCCTTCTGAGTGCTGGAATTAAAGGTGTGTGCCACCGCCACCTAGCTAATAAATTATTTTTTAATTATCTTAAAATAAAAGTACTTTTGAGGTATAAAATAAGGATCCCCCTAAGCCACTAACTCCAAAAGACGAAACCATAATATAGGCTGTATGTGAACCTCTGATTTAGACCAGGAAAATCAAGTCCCCTTTCTGTTGCAGAACCTCTATAGTCGGCCACCCAAGAGGATTTGGGAGATTAATTTAGCGATGGTGCTTTGGGCATATGGAGCTAGAAGAGACCAGAAGCAGGGAGACTATTGCTGTGTGGTCTCATAGGGCATGATGGTGCCCACCTGTAATCCTAGAACTAGGAAAGCAGGGTGTCTTAGGGTTTCTATTATTATGAAGAGACACAATGATCATAACACTCTTATAAAGGAAAACATTTAATGGGGTGGCTCGCTTACAGTTCAGAGGTTCTGAGGGTTTTGTTTGTTTGATTGATTGGTTGGTTGGGTTTTTTAGCCTATTTAATCAGAACCTTGGGGCTTTCAAAGAAGCCAGGTGTGGTAGGTAGCTCACATCTGAAATTCCAGTACTTGAGGACAATTGCCATGAATATAAGGCCAGCCTGGGCTAAACTGTGCCTCAAAAGTAAATAGGACTGAGCTGGCTGGTGGTGGCGCACGCCTTTAATCCCAGCACTCGGGAGGCAGGTGGATCTCTGTGAGTTCCAGGCCAGCCTGCCCTACAAGAGCTAGTTCCAGGACAGGCGCCAGAAGCTACAAAGAAACCCTGTCTTGGAAAAAAAAAAAAGCGGCTAGATGTCTCAACAGTTAACATGCTTGCCACACAAGGCCTGGGGAGTCTGATACCTGCAACCCACTATGGAAGGAAAAACCCCACTCCTGAATATTGCCCTGACATCTACATATGTGCCACGGCATGTATAATAGACACATGACAGTAACAAAAATCTAAAATATACACTAATAAGTATATCCAAGATGTCCTAAAAGTCTATTTGGAGTTGAATAAAGCAGCTAAGTCTGTAATCCCAATACTCAGGAGGCTGAAGCATAGGTTCACTTGAAATTCAAGGCTAGCCTGTACTACGTACAATGAAGACACAAAACACTGCACACACACACAAACTCAAACCCCCTACTTTTATTTGTTTTGGGTTAGCTCTGGTTTGGTTTAATATATCTATTAGATGGGCTCACTCTACTTATAGCCCAGGCTAGATTCAAACTCACCATCTTCTTGCCTCAGCATCTCAGGAGATGCACTCCATTTAGCTTTGGACAAGTTAGGAATGCATGAGAGTTGGTGGGGAAAATCAGGTGTATACCTTGGCCAGGGCATGAGACTGGAGATCTATAGGAACTCCTCATTAAATATACATAGCACACCTGCCAGGATGACTTGAGGCTGAGTATCCCCCGCCCAAATTAGAGCAGGCAGTCACTATCCACTCAGGCCCTGGTCTTGACTCACTGTGCTACAGGCTGCTCACCCCAGGCACTGATTACTAGTTATTTTTCATGGCCATCAAAATCAGACTGAAGGCCCCATGGGTGTCATTCAGTTGAGAGAGTGTTTACCTAGCATCCAGAAAGCCCTGGACTTGATCCTCAGGACAATACAAATGGATCCTGGTGACACACACTTGTAATCTTAGAGATAGCCAGGGGTCTTGACTGGGTTTGTTTGCTCCACCAGTCAAAGACTGAAAAGGAGGCAGGGCAGTGGTGGCACACGCCTTTAAACCCAGCACTTGGAAGGCAGAAGCAGGCGGATCTCTGTGAGTTTGAGGCCAGCCTGGTCTACAGAGTGAATTCCAGGACAGTCAAGACTACACAGAGAAACACTATCTCAAAAAAAATGAGGGAAAAAATAAAAATGAAAAACAGGAAAAATATTGAGCTCACAGAGAAACACTATCTCAAAAAATGAGGGGAAAAAATAAAAATGAGAAGACAGGAAAAATACTGATCTCAAGAGGTAGCAGCAGAGAAATCTCAAGGAGCACAGACAGCCGCAGATAGCATCAGTAGTTGAACTCGCCTCTAATGAAGGTGAGGAGACCCACACATAGGGCAGACGCTCAAGAAAAAGACCCTTTGCAAAGCAGAGGGAGACTCAGAAAGTTAAGAACTCTAGTCTTTTCCTCTCCAAACTCTTCTCTGAAGAGTTTTTCTTCCCTAATTTAGGGCTGGTCAGTTCGAAGAAAGAAGAGTTGAATTGGTCAGTCACGGCTACAGAGCAGAGGTGGGCACGTCAATCTTAAGCTGGAGCTAGTTCATCAGTGGGGGCTGCTGGTGGGAGGAGACTCGGAGGTAGACAAAGTCCCCAGTAGGCAGACAGACAGGGACAGGGGCCATGGCTAGGTGATTCCTATCAGGGAATCACCCGTAGTCTCTCTGGAACTCTCCAGAGACAGAGGCAGGAAGATCAAGTTCAAGGCTGCATGAAGACTTGAAGTTCAGATCCTCAGCACTCACATGAGAGCCAGGCAGGGAAGTAGAAACAGGTGGATTCTGGAGTCTACTGGCCGGCCAGCCTAGTCAATCCAGGAGCTCCGGGTGTGGTGAGAGTATGTCTCAGAGCTAAGAGTAATTGGGGAAGATGCCCAACTTTGAACCCTGACCTCCATAAGCATGTGCATGAACATTCCATCGCCTACACAAATTTAATTAATCTACAAAGTGTTCAAATATGTTTTATTTGAACATTTGGGTGACCCCGGTTGCAAATAGAACGTTTATCCTTCCCTGAGCTCTGTGGAAAAGAGAAGGCAGAGAGATGCATTGTTTGAAGGCGATGTCTAGGGGTTAAAATAGCATCCTGCCAGTTTGGTGGTGGTCCACACCCCTAATCCCAGCAGAGGAGGCAAAGGCAGGCAGATCTCTGAATTAAAGACCGTCTTGGTTTAGAGAAGGCATTCCTGGACAGTCAAGGTTACATGAAGAAATTCTGTCTCAAAACAAAAAACCAACCAAACAAAACATCACCCTAACTCACAACTGTTAGAAATACAAGTTAATAAAATCCTAGGCTTCTCTTGAACCCCTGAGTTAGAGCAGCTCCCACTACCTTGGGTTGCTGGCTCTTGACCCCTGAGATAGAGCAGCTCCCACCCCCTTGGGTGGCTGGTTTTCTTTTGTTTGCAGGGGTGAGGAGGAAGCCTTTGTTTCGTTCCCCCCAGCTGCTCCTCTCTCCCTTCCTGTACTGTGATCGTTTAGTGATAATACTTACTTTGTAGCCATGGCTAATAACATTGTATCAATAACTAAAACGGCTAGAAGCGACTAGGGGAAGAACCAGGGACACTGCAACGTGGTGAACCTGTGCCCAGAGCTGCTTTAAAGCCAGAAGTCCACCACAAATGTGAGAATGTCTTCCTTAACTGTAAAGCATTTTATGAAATTCACATTTACAAAACAATAAAGTCAATTCAAACCCCCAAAACTAAAAAATAAAATTGAAAAACAAAACCCAGATGCTGAAGAGATGGCTCAGCTGAGCACTCGCTGTTCCTACAGAAGACACAGGTTCGGGACCTAGCTCTCACATGGTGGCGCACAATCTCCTCCAACTCCAGATCTAGAGTATCCAGTACTCTCTTCTGGACTCCCCTGGGAGCCTGCAAGCACATGGCACACTTAGATACTTGCAGAGAGACAGAACACACACACACACACACACACACACACACACACACACACACGAACCAGAGTCTCACTACCTAGCCCCTAGCTATGTAGACCGGGCTAACCTTGAACTCACAGAAATCCACCTGCTTCTGTCTCTGGAGAGTTGGGATTGAAGGCATGGGCCACTCTTTTATCTATCTATCTATCTATCTATCTATCTATCTATCTATCTATCTATCTATCTATCTATCTA